GGCTATATCAATAGTTAATTGATTAACGGATTAATTAATTATTATTAATACTATTAATTATTAACTGTAACTGATTATAAGATTTTTACGAACGATAAGTACGTTGTTGTTTCATTTTGTCTTTTTTAATTCCTTAGAAGAAAAAGCGAAGAGAAGGGATATTATAATAACAAAGAAGACCAGTGTTTGTTAGTTTATTGTTTAGGATTGTAAAAGCGAAACGCATTAACGATTTCAGAATCGTTGGGGCGACAAATCAAGCGACGAGTCAAGCTAGACAAAAGAGTAAAAATAAAAATTGTTTTAGTGTCGTCGGTTTACAGAGAAATAAAGTTTCCTTTCGTTTGTTAATTTATCAATAAACGCTTTTTTTTACGTAAAACGATCGAGCGGGTCGTAAAATCTGTTTTTTTTTCGCCATTTTATCCTACACAACACGCAAAGTTTAAACTTGTTCATAGTAGCATATTGAGGAAATGTAGATTTTATGAAATAATATTCGCATAAGCCAGTAAGTTTTGCGGTCCAGTCTCGAACGGGTAGAGTTGTAATTTTATGCATATAAGTTTTTTTTGTTTGGATTTTTTCTTTTGTAAATCTTAGTCGAGTGAAACAAAGTGGCATCTATAATAATACAAAGCAAATGTAAAGTGGGCAGCGGCTAGACAGCTTATACCGTCGTTTATTCTTTCTTTTTTTTTTAATTTAACAAGATTAATAATAAACGTAATAGAAGAATAAAAACAAACACATTTGATAATCACTGAGAGGCTAAGACTAACTCGACTTTTGTGACGAGCGGATGTTAAAGATATAAATCGAAAGAAGGCAATGTGACAGAATTGTTTGTTATGTTACACGTTGACGGATATATCGATGGTTTTTTATCTAAAAAATAAACATGAAGTTTCCGAGACTGGCGAGCTTATGAATCTCTGCCTTCTAATGTTCTCTTCGATTGAATATGGTTTGTTTTTGAATATATATGATATATGATTCGTTTTAGTGATTAATTAACTTTAATTAGAGTTGTTGATGTTTTATCATACAGTTTGTCCTTTTACTACTATGCGATTGGTGATAAACGTAGTTTTTAAGAAACACCAAAACTTTTAAATGATGAAAAAATGGTAGACTTAAGAGAATGATAAAAAATTGTGCCTTTTACGTACTAATATACGTTTTAAACATTTATAAGAAGTACCTTCATTATTTATAACGAGTTTTTACATGTATAATATAAATTTTATGTACTAACTGGAGGATATTAGAGGTGAGAGATCAAGCTTGTCGCTATATCTCGAGAGGAAGGAACAGTTTAAAGAAAAGTTGAAAAGCAATATCAAAATAATAAATAAAAAATGAAGTCGTGATAAAAGAGTGGACTATAAAAAATTGTTTGACAAGACGAGCGCGCCGGGCGAGAAGATGCTTTTTTCAGGATACTAGGCATATATATATATATATATATATATATATATATATATAAATATATAATATATTAAACAAATATACAATTATATAATAACGATAAGTATCAAAATGATAACGCGTTCGAGTCGAAAGATGATGAAAAAACATTGTGAATTAAATGAGAAAAGATAAACAAATTTATAGAGTTTATAATATATATATATATATATATTTATGCGTGACTTCTGCGATGCAGGTGTGCCAGCTAAAGCGATCTTTATTTTATCGGGTTAATATTGTATAAATATGTCACGGTTTTTATCATTGCATTACATTGTATAATTGTTTTCTCATCTAATCAAAGCAAAAGGCTCCACTTATCCGGAGTATTAGTCAATGTATATCGTGTATATCGATGTTACGTGTATGTGTATATATATATATACACACACACACACACACACACACACACACACACACACATATATATATATATATATATATATATATATATATATATATATAATTCGAAATGGTTCTCTTCTCTTTGTATCGCGGCACTCTTGCAGAGCGACGTCACCTTTTTATCTATCCTCTCCTCCTGCTTTTTCACCCTTCTATGTACCCCTACTCCTTCGCCTCCATTTATGACCTTATCCCACAATCAAAACCCCGTCACCGTGACCCCACCCTTGAGAGAGGTAAACTTACGAGGCTTAAAATAGACTGTACTATTGGATAGATTTTAATATATATTATATGCATATATATATTAAAGATGTGGACAAGTGAATGAAAGAGAGAGAGAAAGAGAGAGCGAGAGAAAGAGACGAAAGAAAATAAAAGCAGCGAGTTTTAATGATATGTCGTTTTAATAAGTCGATATGAGCGCCCACGTGCTTTGATGTCACGTTCACGGCGGACAAGAGTGCATTATTATCATTATACATTGTGGTGATTATTTTAATCTTTGACGATTATTACGATTATTAATTATTATTATTATTATTACTATATATTATATATAAACAAAAGTTATATCGAATATATTTTAGCTATAGTTGGTAATTAATACCTATTAACGTCGTTGCAAATTGTGAAGGATAAGCGATATAATGAGCGTCAGAAAATGAAATGCAGAATATCAACATGGAAAGATAATAGAAAAAAATTCACATATATCCACACGTATACACACGTACACACGTGAAGTTGATTTTAATTTTTTATACGTGTATATGTATGTTTCACATACGTAAGAATGGGAAAAGTGTGCGAGGACAAAAAAAATTTTCTTAAAGTGTCATTCGAGTGGGACGACACGGTAGTTGTGATCCCCCTGTTTGGTGCCTTTCTAAAAAAAACATTTAATGAAACAAAAATACAAGTAATAACGTGTCGAAGGAGCTTAAAAAAAATTGTTATTGAAATCGCGATCTTGCGCACGATCGCAAATCTAGTGCCAAATAAGTGAGACCTTGTCGTTTTTAAAGTCGGAAGGTTTTTTGTGGAAACAATATAAAGTAATGAAATGTAAAATTTAACAAAAAATACAAAAAAAATAAAAAAAAAAGATGAAGACAAAGTAAGAAAAAAAGAAACAATTTTATAGATAAAACTTTTTAGCGAGAGAACGACTTACGTGTGCGTGTGAGAGACGACGAGTCTTTTTCTGACGCTGGGTAGAATTAGTATATTTTATATGCACTGATTGTTTGATTATCGATAATAATGAAATAAAACAAAAAACAGAACGGTGTTCAATAGATCTTAATTCTAAAAATGTTTTATTCTCTTGTATCTAAGTCTCGCTCTGATGATCGCATTTCTTTACGGTTTCGTTTTTCCGTTTAGTTTTTCTTTTTATTTCGCTCTTTTCGCAGATTTTTTTTTTTTTTTTGGAAAAAGCGTCTCGTCTCGAAAAAAACCTAGAGACGGTAATCGACGACGAGCGAAGATAATGTTTAACATGCGCCTAAAGGGGGTTTATAGAGGCGCGACGATCATATAAGGTTTTTCTTTCACGTCGCACAACGTGAAATAAAAACGACGGCGACGACTCGTTCGTTGTGTAATTTCTTCGTTTTTTTTTCTCAAGCCAAATATAATGCGTTTTCTTTTTTTGTTTTTTTTTGCGTTTCGCAAGGAAGAAGCTAACGATCATTGTAACTAGTTTTATGGTTTTTATTGTAATACCGAGTCATTTGTTGATTTTTTTGTCGTCATTTGTAAAAGGCGTACTCTATATTTTTTTTAGTTGTTTCTCGTTTATTATTATTTTTTTCAATCGATTTTATTTCATCGATGTAATTTCGACAACAACACAAAGTCACGATTAATAAAATTTATTGTAAGTTGTATACCACTGTGTTTTCAGACAATTACTTCCCATTCCCTCGAATAAACAACGTCCTTTTTTTTCAGTAACCATTGATAACAGTTCATTTTTCAGAATTTTTTTCGCATCTTTGTTTTATTTCCACGCATTATGTGATTTCGTCCATTCATTTTATTTTCCTTTCGATGTATCTCATTTATTTTTTATTCTTCCATTATTAATTAATAAAATCTTTTTTTTAAAAAGAGTGAATCATTTTGATGGACGATTCGCATAAGCCAGTGAAATAGAAAAAATTAACAACGCTTTCTCAAGAAAAGCACTTTGGTAAAATGAAGGCAAGGTAATTACTCGAAAACTAACACTCATAGTTGTTCACAATATTTATGTTTTGGAGTAAATGTTGTGATTATATTGTTTTCTTATTATTTTTGAAAGCACGATTCGATTTATTATTGTACAATATTTATTGTCATTTCGTTATAGCTGTTATTTTTATAGACTTATGTTTCCACTGGAAATCTTAATTTAATTCAGTAGTAGACATGATTTAATTAGTGGTATTGTTTATTTTTGTCATTAATTTTATTAAAAATTATAATTCATTTTAACGTATAGTCATCAGCGTTCTATTTAAATATTTATATATTTATTTCCATAAATTTTTGTTAGCTTGGTTTCTAAGCTTTAGATTTTTCTGATTTGACCTGATAAAATTCACAGTAAATATTACAGTTTGCATCAGAAATAGTTAAAGCTTGTTTATCCTTTTTATAAGTTTTCTACTTTTATTATTTTTTTAACACTAATTGTTAAGTAGACTCGGTGTACTCTGAACTGTAGACTACACCCCGATTTGTTCTCAAACATTTCATTTTATTACCATTTAAAGTGAGAAACACAATGATGATGTTTTATTTAAGTAATTTTAGATTTTCAGTTTTTTTTACAGCTGGTCAATACAATTATTTTTTGTCTTGATATGCCTAAATATGATTTCTACTGCGTATATCGTTGTTATATTTTCGTATGCCAAAGATATTTAATTTGGTCTGCATGAGCTACCAAATTCAATGATATTAATGTTTTTTTTATAAAAAATGAAAGAAAATATTACATAGAAGGTACACGAATAAAGTCTTAACCCGAGCATACCTTCTACTAATATCGAACTTTTAGTTGTTACTCGTAATCACATTAATTAGCTATAATAATATGCACATAATTATTTGAATTACCTCATTGAAAGCAAAATTAAATGAACGTAAAATTGTAAATTTTGCAGACTTCGCCTCGTCAGCGAGCAGCAGTAGCAGCGTAAAATCCGATGCGTCCGACAAGTCTCGAGGTCCAAGTAGTACGCCGGACAACGTGGCAGGACAGCACTCAATTGATTCACCAACGCGAGGCAACGCTCAATCAGCGCCGTCGACGCCATCGACCACGTCGTTGAGCAGCAGTTCGACGACGAGTACAACGACGACGTCGTCGACCACGGCGTCACCACGGTCATCGTCGGCTCAACGAGCCAACGCGCAACAGCAGCAGCACGGCTCGACGACGCAAAACGCCAACTCGGCCAGTTCGCAACCTGCTGGTGCCATGAGTGCGCCGTCGGGTCGTCAAGTGCCCAAGAGGCGGATGCGTCGACGAGCCACGTCTCAGTCTCAAGACCCAGCTGAACAATTGACCGAAATGTCGGTGCGAGGCTTGAATCTGTTCCGTTACGCCTCGATATCCGAAGGCGTATATCAGTGCACCGAGTGCGCTAAAGTCGACATCCAGAAGACCTTTAAAAATAAGTACAGCTTCCAGCGGCACGCCTTCCTTTATCACGAGGGACACCAGCGGAAAGTCTTCCCCTGTCCCGTGTGTGGCAAGGAATTCTCAAGGCCCGACAAGATGAAGAACCATATGAAGACCGTTCACGATTGCTTCATGCCCAAGGATTGCGTTATGCCGTTTAGCTTCTTCCAGCTGCAGTAGAGCTGCGCGCTGATCTCTCATTCTTCTGATTTTTTTATTACTAAAACGGACACACATACGACGGCGTTCACGCTGTGCCTTATATTATATTCTTTTCAATCCGATGATTTACTGGGCAATTTTATTTCTCATTCGTATTGTACACTCCCATCAGTAGTTTCGAAATATGTTTCCTCTACTTTCTTTTCGAACGATCAAAATTTTATTCCTCAAAGCAGATCAGACAGCGACACTGTGATCAAATGTTCAAGGGACTCGACAGTATTTTTTTTTCTTTTCGCGTAGAAGATACTTTTTTGTTTTGTTTTTCACTTCGCGTGAAGCAAGTGTTTTTTTTGCGCGTCTTAGGTTGTAAGCGATAAAAAGGAAAATAATTAGACGGGAACAGATGCAATACGTGGTTTTATTCATGTAAGAGGATTGTGTGCGTTGAAGGGAACATGCCAGCTTGTTTGTTTTTTCTTTCCTCCGAGCGCGCGACACTCACTTTTTTTTCTTTTTTTTTTTTTTTTGTTTTGCGTCTGTTTTATTTTTTCCTTTTTATACTTAAATACACATCGCTGCGTGTCTTCTGCGAATTTACCAATATTTTTTTGACTTGCAATTTGACCGTTATTATTATTACTACATTTTTTGTGTAATCGATTGCGGCGCTGAGAGTGATTATTTTATTAGGAAATATTACATAGCAATTCCAAAATAACAATTAATGTTACATATCCAGTTTGCCTTAAATTATCCGCGATTCTTCGCGGAGAATCTTTCACAAACGACTTCGAACTCTTGTTTACAAGTGTTTGTAAAGGGATTTCGTTTACATGCATTTTTTATATGATAACGGAGAAGCGTTTGACTTTTCTCTCCAGGAAAGCGAAACTGATGGTGCGCGCAAGTAAGAAAAAAAAAAACTAAATAAAACTATTTATCGACGTAGAAAGTATTTCAAGAGTATATTATAGATACAAATATATTGCATATTTCTGAAAGTTTATATCGTTGGAAGTGAGAAAGAAAGCAATGAATATAGAACGATTTATATAAATAGACGACTATGGAGTAGTTTTCATAAAATTATTTTTTCCCGTCTTACGGAGAGAAAAGATAAGTGTTAGGGAATAATTACGATGCAAATCAGAATTATATAATGATATATATAATGAAAGTTATGCACAAATAATACAAGAGCCAATTGCTTAGCAGCGACTATGTTTATCTGTACAGACCTCTAAATTGAGTGTATTATAGAGAATAGTTCATTGACGATTTGTAACTCTTTCTATCAATATTATGATTATCTGCAGACAATGCTATTTTTATTATTGCTGTTACAATTACCGCTATTATTATAATGTAGTTAAAAAAAATTATTATTGTATAATTATATTTACTATTACTAATCGTTTTACGAGCGCACAGAATAAATATATAAATATATCTATATATATTGTGAATTTTTTCAAGATATAATGAAGCGATATAGATGCACGGATGCACTACGAGCACACATAAAGAATGTTGACAAAGATGAATAGCGATAGTAAGAAAATTTATATGATTACGTGTTTATTGTGCATTATTATATATTTATAACTCAGTTTCTCGACTGGAAAATCTTCTGCGTAGGTTCCTTGTTTGTTTTCCTACCAACAATTTTGTTTCTTCCGCGTGTACGTTTTCCAACGAAAAAAAAAACAAAAAGACGAAAACAATTTAACGAGGGCACGTTTGTTGATTCCTACGTTTTTTCTTCATTATATAAATTTTTTGGTGATGGGATGCACATTTTTTAGAGATTTCTAAATAATTAATAAAAAAAAATAACGAAAAAATAATTGCGCTTATCTTTTTTGAATGATTCACAAATGGCGTCCGAGTTTGAGAAGATGTAATAATTGTTTGATATACGCAAAGTTCACGGTACTGCGACGTGGCTCACGTTCATTATTGTCAAAACTATGTGCGTGAATCGAGTCGATAGCAGTATTGGTCTTCCGCAATTATATATTTGTTACAGCTGTAAGAAATTTAAGTGTGCGTGTACATTTGAGGAAATGTGTGAGTTTTCTTTTTTTTCTGCGAAAAGAGCGCTTGAGGGACGTGAGTTTTGTAATAAAGTTTATAATAGAAGATAGCGTTAATATTTGAAAGAAAAATTTATTTAAGAGAGCAAATATATATTTAAAAAGATATCATTTTATGCGCACGTTTTTTCTAACTTTACTACCAAGTGGTTTCATTCGTCTAGCGTTGGCCGCTTTCACCTAATTGAACGTCAAGATTGTCATCGTTTGAGCATTATTCAAGCGAAATTGTTCTTTGCTCATTCGCATAATTACAAATTTTGTAATGCAAGCTTAAATTTGTGGACAATGTTCAGACATTTAAATTGCGAAGGAACGTATAGTTATTTACATTTGACTATTTATTATAATTATGAAGTTATTAAGAGTTAATTTATAATTAATTTTACTAACTGGTAAAAAGTCCATTAAATTTAAATGAAAAGCTTTTCACTTGATTCCTATACTTTATCTGCATTATATCTATTTAAATTGTGATAAGACGCTTTAGTGCATTAAAATTTTTTATGAATTAAAACAAAACATGTATTGTCGTATATTATAGTTAAAAATTTAATTCAATAAGATCTAACATTCTTTTTTATATTGAATAATTTTTTTATAACAATCATATTTCAAATAACAGTTACAATTAAATGAAAAAAAGTTCTAATCTTCAAGATAAGTTCTATAAAAAATAAATTACAAGTGATATGTGTAATAATGCAAAACAAAGTTAATTCAAAGCTCAAACGTCAATCTAACGTTGGTCAAACGTATATAGTGATACCTCAGCGTCAAGTCTTCAATATCCTTCTCAATTTTTCGTACTTTATTAAGCGCATGCATTGAAATTCTTTTTCTATATGTGCAGAATACGGTACGGTCATTGAGCAAAAATTTATTTTATAGTTTATGTCTGTATTTCTCTCTTCCATGTATTATTAATAATGCGATTAATTCACATGATGTTGTAGTTTTATAATAATAATAAATATCATCGCTATTACATATATCTGTTCACTGTCATTCCTCCCTTTTGATCTAATAGTTTTATTGAAATTTAAATCATTTCACTCAACTATTCGAAGTTCTATAAAATAATGTAGTATTCGTTGTTAATTTATTATAAATAAAGAAGTTATATCGTTAAAATATACGCTTTTTCATGGAACTGCATTATTATTTATTAAAACGCTACGTAATTGTTATTTTTGTGTATACAATTTCAAATCTCACATATATCGCTCGTTTTGTTCATTTTTCTAGTAGACAGTAGTAAATAAAAGGTATTACATATGAGTAGTAAACAAAATGTTAGTCGAAAATAGAATGACAGAAAATCTGATAACGACATTCACGACCATGTCGATCTTCCTTGATTTCTTTTGCAGGTTTTATGCCGATTTTGCCAAGCGATATAACATTCGAAATCTGTACGACTAGCGACCCACATCAAGATGACTTCGAGGCCGATGACGAGTCGAACAATTCGACATCGAATTCACCGGCATGTGGGGACGAGTTGAAAAAGTCCAATACGGGCGGTATTCATTTTCTGACGTCCGACGTGAAGGACCCATTAACGACGTCGACGGCAACGTCGATGGCAACGGCAGCCATGGCAGACACGGAACCCGAAGTGCGCAAGCAGGTTGGTTGGCACCCCACCGCGCTAAGGGCACTTGCCACGAGTGCCATAGGGCATCGAAGTAGGCGCCGAGCACTCGCTTTCCGACCCAATGAAGCTTGTCGGAACGAGGCCGCCAGATACCTCAAGAGCGGAAATGTCGTTTCTGTGCTCAGACCAAGAGTTTAATGCATGGGATAGATAGCCTATTTCATTTTATCATTGAAAGCCATTAGTGTTAGGTCAAATTCATGTAGTTCGAACGGAGACTGATAGATCTGTAGTTGTTGTCGAGTTACCGTGGATTCCGATTATACGGTTACGTGTGCAATAATTCAATATGGGTGAACTGGAGCTGAGCTCCGTAGTAACGTAATAATTAGAGTTACAAGTTTTTTTTTTAATTAGTTGTGTTATAAAATATCAAATCTAAATATTAGGAAATTGAAAAAAAAAATGAATAATTCTTTGTACGCTAGAAAGGTCTGTAAAAAAATTAATAATCAGACTCCAGTCAGTTGACCACCTTTATAAAGATGAGTTAACGTCAAATAAGTGAGCTAGTCAACAATGACTATACACAATTATACATTAAGTGATACAATCAATTTGCTTTTGCAAAAGTGGATCAGTTAGAAACAGTTATTCGAATGAAGCCATAAACGGTCGGTCGAGCTATTTATTGTATGTTTATATAAAAGTTTCCAAGTGAATAATTGTCTCTAGGATGTTAGTGGATTTACTAGTTGATATTTATTTATTTAGTCGATTTGTTAGTGAATTCATTAATTTACTTAGATTAGTAAGTGACGGATGTTCTTAAAAAATAATTTAGCTTCAAAGATGAAGAGAAAGAATTTTTTGTTAATCATAAAGATGTGAACAACAGCTTTAGCTGAATTTTCTTGTTGGGAACAACCTTTAGCGTTGGCGAATAGTTTGGTTGATAAAGATTTTATCACACGTGAACTTTTCGAATGCTTAAAACTTAAACCGATTTTTGATTAATTTATATCAATTCAACGAATGCCGTACAAACATTTTTATTGATCAAATTGATATATGAAAACTATTTATTATTGAAATATGTTATGAAACTGGTTTTTGAATCTTTAAAACAAAAATAATGTAACATAATTCTTCCATTATAAAAAAGGAAACAACAAAAATCAGAGTGACGATATTCAATAATAACTCATGAGACTGACTTTAGAAAGGCAATCTTTCGTATTTGAAGAAACTCGTGATTTTACATTTGTTCGATAATTTATCATATACTGCACTAGAGCCCAATGTTATTGATCATTTGCATTGTGCACTATCCATTTGAATACATCATGTCATGCTTATTTACTTATTGTCATTACCATCGGCCATTACTTCATGTATTTCATACGCATGACGCTTATACTAGTATATAGTTCACTTTAATTCTATATTACGAACTGATCAAAACTAAAAAATCACGCACATGATACTGTTTTTAATGAAATAATGACTTGATAACAAAAATTTACGCAGATTTATATGGATAAAAAGCACTTTTGAAGGGATTTCTTTATACCTATTCTTTCAAGTACAAAATTGATTTGATGAATTATTTGTTATTGAAATAAACAGTCAATTCGTGTTTTGAGAAAACAATGATCGATAAACACGCACAAAGTCAATTTGCTGCTGCAAAATAACTGTCATATTATATGTATACTTGTAGGTAATGAAAAATTTATAAAAGGAGAAAAAAAAACGATTCGATGTTAGTTGAGAGGAGCATACTCATCTAGTATAGAGATTATTAGAAAATAAATTTGAAAAAAAAATCAAGAGGATCTGAAAAAATGAAAATTATGCGAGAGCGATGACGTGTATATGCTTTCCTGTAAAAGCTGCTGGAGTACCTGATCCAAAACGACGGTTCAGTGGTATGCAAGTGGTGTGGCGAGGTGTTACCATCCCGAACGCGATGGTATCGTCACAAGTACAAACTGCACGTGACAACGACGTCATCGACACAACAATCCCAATCGGCGCAACCGCAGCCGCTGTTCAAGTGTCACAGCTGTAACGCGTACTTCAAATCACGAAAAGGTTACATCGGCCACCTGAGCTCGCGGCATTCGAGCGACGAGAACGACGAGAACCGCGAGGAACAACCACGTCACTATCACTATCATCATCATCACAACAACAATAAGAGCAACAGCACCAAGACTGTCATTCGCAAACCAGCCGATGTAAGAGCGATGATTTACCTTGTGTATCATGTGCTAGAGAGATATTGTAGTTTTCGAGCATAACACACGCTATACAAACTCGAGGGTAAAAAAACAACCAAAATTTCGATAACTCGCAAAAATAAAATATAACAAGGTTTCGAGATCTGCCATAACGTCAATCGCATTTTTTTCCATTTTGATCGAAAATCGATTTACATACTTGAAAATACCAATGTGAAAAAAACATAAACAATCGTAGATCTCAGAACACTTCGAAAATCTGGCACGTAACACACAGCAGCATAAAAAGCTTATATACGTATTCCTCAAACAACAAATCCTCTCTGCACGTCGATGATCCTCTTCTTTTTTTTTACAATCGTAGATTTATTTAAACGAACGTCATTGAATGTGCAATTCATAAATGTTTAAAATTGAAATAAAGGCCACTCTACTGTGTTATCGTTATTAGATTAATGGCTGCACAATATCCTTTTTACGTGCATATATTATACGCAATGCTTGTGTACAAGGCCTGCATTTTAAATTCTTTTTTCGCTGTTGTCCATTGGCCTTTTGAAGGAAAATCGCGTAAATGAATCTCATATCTATGTATTCAACGTACATGCTACAGTCACGACATCGTGTGTACACCTCGAATCATTTGGTGTTCCATCATAGAGAGAGAGAGAGAGAGAGAGGGAGAGAGAGAGAGACAGATCCTAATGCGCGGATTTGTTCGTTCGAATTGCTATAGTAATGCAATTTTCATTCATCTGTATCGCGCGAGTTTGTAATGTCGATTTTCTATACACACCAGTTTTTGGCGATCTCGCATTGTCTTTCCAAGATATATTGTAGAATCTGGTTTTTTATTGCTCTAATATTATCACTATTATACAATACACATTTGGCAGCTCGATGCTTATAGCTCGTAATTTGTTAATAAAATGTTTTTTACAAAAAAATAAATCTACCGTTGTTCTTGCATAAGATATCCCCTTTCTTTCTTTATGTTTTGCATGACATTGCCAATATTTCGTTAATTTGTCGCACGAAGACTTGACGCATCTATATTCTTGCAATAGGCCTTGCTTCTTTCTTTTTTAAATACGTTTCATTTATTTTATGAATGTCAGATCATGCTTTACAACAGTCGCTTAACACTTTGACACTAGATTCAAAATTAAGTTTCAAAATTAACAAAATACAAAGACTTTACATAGCAATGCATTTTTTCATCCAAATTTTACACTATTTTCATGCTTGCTTTACGTTTAATGAGAGAATATATTTGTTTTCTTACTTTTCTAACGAAAATCGCCAAGATATTGAATGGTAAGAGATAAAAAAGATGCTTATTGAAAATTTTGCCAGATCGGCAAGGGTCCTGACTGGGAGCAGCAACGCGAGAAGGAGGAGAAGCTGGTCGCAGACATAATCGACCGCGTGAAACGCGAGTGTGAAGCCCAAGGGGAAATTGTTACGAGACGCGGTTACTCTCGTCGGACTAATGTCATGAACAGTTCCAGCTAAGGTTGGCTCAATGCGGGCACCTTCTTCATCAGCCTCTCCTAAACAGCTCTCACGTTCAACAGTGCCAAATCAAATAATGTACATGTATGAATATTCTTTTGTGATCTCCATGACAACTCAAGTCTGACTTATATTGAACGCGGGTCTTCCAAATTTACTTTTCGACTGATTCTACGATTGTGTATTCACTTTTAACTATAGTACATTCGCTGGGAGATCATACGTATTTTTCATAAACGTCTTGACCACGATCATCAAGTTTTTATTTGTTTCTTAAAAGGGTCTACTAAAAAAAGCTATCCGTGTAATATCATTTACATTGTTTCGAATTTCAATTTTCAAGTTATGAAGATATCAATCATATTTATATATTCGCTGGCGAAATCTTATATATAGTCCAAGTATTCAGGCAATAAAAAAGTTCAAAGCAAATATAAACTGAGACTAGCATTATTCCTTTAGGGAAAGTGAGTCGTGGTGCCGAACCAGAGTATGATTTGTCCGGAAGTAAACGTGTCAATACGTAATTGCGGAAAATTTTATGAAAAAATAATGTTTTTTTTATATTTTACACATGATTATGTAATTTTTACAATATTCTGACGCCTATAAATTGATTTGCTGCAAGTCAAATTTGAATAAATAATTTTAAAGTTACTACAAAAAGAAAATTATAGAAATTATTCCTGTAACAGCTATTTTTGTTAAAAGCAGAGACTTTGAAAATATCTTTGTTTTCCTCGGTGGTGTTGTTCAGTTGTCAACTCCAAGGTCGTAACTCTTGTAGTTGAGAAATCTAGTTGAATTAGCTGGCCTCATTTTCCCGATCATTTGAAAATTTAAATTGTTTAATAATAACCCCAAATTAATGGCTACGAATGCCCTTACAAACAAATAGAACATCTCATATAAATCTGGAACTTTTTCTGACCAATTCATAAAAAAAATAAACTCGCTCAGTACAATAGGAGCAAAGATACGATTTCTTTAGTTGTCACACCTTCAACAGTGAACGTTAAGTGATAAAATGTTCAATGTTTTAAGAGAGAGTTGAAGTTACATACAAAAAACGTAACCTTCAGTAACATTGTAATGTTTTTCTTGATATTACCATCTAACGCGAAATTAAATTTTGAACAAAATGTGCGCTCTGACGATGGTGATGGTCTCCACAAAGTGGAACCATGTATGCTTCGGTCAACTTTTGCAAATAGTTCCTGTACACGTTCAAATTGAAATCGAGCAAGATTTTTGCATTTTCTCCACAACTAATGCATAGAAATGTATTGATACAACTTTTCGAAACAAATTCGATAAAATAGAATTATTTACTATTGCATTTTCAACTTACTATTGGTCAGTGTTTTACAAGACTATTTCTAAAAAATTTGAACTTTTAAAATGATCGGGAAAATGAGTCTACGTCAAACTTGAACTCTCAACGAAAATAATGAGCCCTTGTTGGTAATTGTACAATATCCCCAAGGGTAAGTAATTAATTTTCAACAGTTTTCTTTTTAACAGCAATATCTTTTTCAACAGATGTTTCCAATATGTTTTTTTTTAATTTTGACCTAATTTAATCTCTTAAAAAAACACAGTTTACATTTCTTTGGAAATAATAAACAATCTATTGATTAATTAACAAATGGCTCATTTTGCATGTATTTTTGCAATAATTTGAACATTATTTATTCGATTTTGACGTGCAACTATTCAATGCGTATGAAGATTTTTCTTAAAAATGTTAAATAACGTTATTTTTCACCTGTTTTTCGCAATTACACATTAACTCTATATTTTTCCCCAGGATAATATCGCATTCTTGTTCAGTATCAAGCCCCACACCTTTCTTCAAAGGAATAGTGCTAGTCTTTGTTTATGTTTGGTGACTTTACTCTATTGCTTGGACTACATAGAAGACCTAGAACCACAAATATAAGGCTCTACAACGTATACAATTTATTTGTTTTTTCAGGAACATTTATTATAACAGTAAAGTTAACGTGTATTCTTTCCTAATATATAATACAATTTTTAAAAGTTCACGTATAAAAATACAGAAGTTTACAAAATATTGTCCGTAAGGAGTAGCAGCGGTGCAAAGTTCCACAGTCAAATATGAGTACACACATGTCTGTACTAATAATATACAAAAATCACTTGTTGATTTCTCAAAAAAAAAAACAATTCAAAGAGTCCTGAAGCACTTGGTCTAGTGCTAGCTATAAAAATTACAAATGATATGTATATCAAATCAAGGCGAAACCAATGTACATATTCAAAGAGCGTAATACACATACATAACGTTACCAAAGAATAAATCAATGGCATATTCAATATTTTTACTATGTAAGAGATTAATATAGTCTAAATAATTTCATCCGGTGTAGAAATTAGATATTAGAAACTTTAAATAGGAATAGACCAAAAGATAAACTAATTTAATAAATAAGAGAAAGATATTTGAAATCAAATTAACAACGTATACACTGCACATTTTAACATTTTGAGAGGCGTAATTATAAATTATATGAAGTTGAAATTTCGTTTAATTTATTTTTATTTTCATAACACAAAATTAAAAATCGACTATTTCAAAGTTAGTTACTTAAAAGTACAATTTTAACGAGTAGTTACAAGAAACTACCTTAATACATGTGTATATTATACGAAAAATATCCTATAACTTTTCTGAAACAAATAAATAAATACGAGACATGGAAGACCATATTTAATGCAAATAAAAACTGCAAACGAACAGTAATGTACATAGGAATGCAGACATATGTAGATAATGATAATTGGATAGAGAGTAAAAATTAGAATAGAATATAAAGACATAATGTCAAGTGCTCGTATCGAGTGCATGGAATATCATTTCGATTGAATGTATTTATCTACAATATTCCTTAAAAGTCTGTCCAGAAAATAACTATTTATCAAATACATTAATATACATGATATACATAGAGACTTTCTACATAACAGCTATCGGACACTGGACATCGGAAGTTAGACGAATACTGAAGTAAAAGAACAAATCGATTGTTTGTCATTATATTACGAAAGATTTGTGTGTAATCTAAGAAGATCATGGATAACATTTATTTTTATTTTACGAATAAATGTCAAATAATTGATTAATTTTTACACCTTCGTGCACGTCTGGCGTCCGATGTCCGATGTGCGATGACTCTTATGTAGAAAGTCCCTAATCATTTATATTTACAAATTCATAAATTCATAATTGAAAATCTACTTAGTGGTATTTGAAATTAAAATAAAATTATGACGGATCAAAATGACGCTTTAAAATTCTAATTAATTTGTAAATATAAATGATTTCATATTCGATATAATACGTGATATAATATAAATTTATCAGATAGATAGCTGATGTATAAAGTTGTATTCGATTTGAAAAAAGTCGAGTACAGATGAAATACAAAATTCGCCAAACACTAAAACATTCATTCTTGTTGGTATCTCTTTGCCAAGTTATTGTGATAATATAATATTTATCTATGTTACAAAATAAGATTCTAAACCACTTTTACATATAATTTATTAGCTACTTAGTTAACCAATTCGTATTTCATTCGATATATTTTAACAATGCAAATGTGATTTGAATATACTTTAAAATATATGAAGCTTATAGGCTGAATTCTATATTTAATTATAAATCGGCAAAAAATGCATAATTTATACATTAAATTTTGTAAAATTTGTATATGCGTATTTAGGGTTAATTAAGTAACGATTTATTATCTAATAAATGATCATAAATTGCCTTATTTCTATATAGCCCAATATTTAGTTTTTTAATAAAAAATTATAGAAAAAAATTATAATAAAAAACTACTATATTATGCACGAATAAAGAAAGTAAATAGAAAAATGATACACACATTCAATTTTTACAGTGGTTTTAAATAAGTGACATTGAATATGTCAACGTAAGTAAAATATGCATTATAAGTTTGTAACTTATATAATTTTACTGGTTTGAAATGTCCAATATAATAGTTTTTATCCGACTTTGATGGAATACAATGTTACGATAAGATATGAAGAGAATAAATAAGAAATCTGTGAGTTTGTGAAGTCCTATCGGAGTCAAATTCGAAGGAAAAAACGAGTGCCGAAATGAACCTCACAATACAAATATTAATACCAAAGCCATAGGCAAACAAAAATATATATCAAAGTATACATTTGACGAAAATATATCGTTGAAACAATTAAATTGCCAAACATGATTATCAATAAAAGAACGTAGAATTCTTACAAAGAATGGCTATTCGACTGTATTATTGCATGTCAGTGATTCAGGAGAAAATAAAAATCAAAAACAATTAACAATAGCGTTCTCATTTATACCAAGTTTCAAATGTGTATTATGTACTTTTTAATTTCAACTGTAAACTGCAACTCAATGTTTATTTCTTTAATATTACGCTTATAGGTATATGAACTGTTGCCATAGCAGTTGCTTTCAGCCGCTAATGATTTTGATAATCTAATGATTTTGAAATACGCTCTTCCAAATACTCGTTGTGTATGATATATCAAATTGAGAATTGAGAACTAATACAACACAATGGAACTAACTTTTTTTTCATTTCTACTGTATTTTGCCATATATGCTAGCTATTGACCCGCTGGATTATAATTTTGCAATTTTATAACAATAAATAATAAATGTTAGAATAACAAATTAAAATAACTAGAAGCATTCACTAATTTTTATATTTCGTGAAGGTTCATATTTCTCAAGTTCAACCATAACAACAATGAATTACTTATCACATATCTTTATTAAATTATTCTTTTGTTATTGTGATTGTAATTAAAAAATTTTCCGTTATATAGCTAGCTCACTTATTAAATGCTCATAAATAATATGAAACATAAAATAAATGGTTTAATCTTAAATCGATAGAAAAAGAGACTCAAGTAATATAATTAAAACTAAATATTTTTTTTAATGGCTATTTCAACTAAATTAGCTTAAAAAATTAAATAAAAACTGTATATTGCTGACATAAGTTATCTCGTCGTGGTTCCTTTAGAAAATTTGCGGGTTATCTTCGACGCGAACCCCATCTATCGTCAATCAGTTTAACCTTCGGAATTCCACCGAACCAAATCTTTGGTCCCCGCGTTTCAGTCGCGTCTCCTTTTCATTTTCATCCCTGTTTACGTTCGCGCACACACGTACGTACGTCGCACACAACACATGTACACCACAAGCTACAGTGGTTCTCGCTTCTCTCTTTTTTTCGCGGACACAATCGCCATCGTCGCGCCGCGCACTTCAGCCTCCATGTTTTCTTACGACAACAGCACACAATAGGTTTCAGGGTCTTCGGAGTTCGCCGTCGCCCTAAAACTTTCGACTCTCGCGTGGTTATTCATCGAAAAGTCGAATAAAAAACACGTGAACAGTGAAGCCAACGCATTTTCGTAGGCGTGTTAGAGCGTTGGAAACGAGTGTCGACTTTACGCTTGGGTTGTAGGTGTTGCGTTGAGTTTGAGTGTGTGTACTCGAGAGAATGTCGCCGACTCCTGGTGTTGGCTTGCAGTGATATGCACCAAGGAATAGTCAAGAAGACGTGTATCGTCGCCCGGTAGCACGAATTTTTTCTTTTAAGAAGCGAGAGGAGGTAAGTGAGATAGCGCGCAAGCAAGCAGCAGTGGTGGCGGCGGCTTTTCTTTGATGTCCTCAGTAAAGATGACGGGTCTTCATTGCTTATTCGTCTTTACCCTGGTGCTCGGCTGTGCCAGTGCATCGCATATGAAAGAAAAGGATCCGCTCGCGCCTCACGGCAAATGCGAGCCCATAACCATCAATCTCTGTATGGACATGCCTTACAATGAGACCATAATGCCTAATCTCTTGAATCATCAGAAGCAAGAAGATGCTGGACCCGAGGTGCATCAGTTTTCACCTCTTGTCAAGCTCAAATGTAGTCCAGATCTCAAGTTTTTCCTTTGTGCTATGTATGCACCAGTGTGTACGATCCTTGATAAAGCTCTGCCACCCTGTAGATCTCTGTGTGAAAGTGCTAGGATGGGCTGTGAAAGACTCATGAATAACTTTGGCTTCTATTGGCCAGAGAGTATGGATTGTTCCAAATTTCCAGAATTTGATGGAAAAGTGTTGTGTGTTGGTAAGAACGAAACAAGTAGAACTGATCCACCTGTGATTGATGAAGATGTCAGACTGCCTGCGGTGGAATTCATTCCTGGACGCAATATGCCAAAACCCTATGTTAATAATAATTTAAGGTTGGCTCGAGATTATGGATTCGTTTGTCCACTGCAGTTTAAAGTTCTATCAACATACCAATACTCGCTTAAAGTTGGAAATAACACTGAGCCTAATTGTGGTGCTCCATGTGATAATATGTTTTTCTCTGAGAGAGAACGCAAGTTCGCTAGAGTTTGGATTGGTACTTGGGCTGTTTTATGTGCTGTTTCGTGTTTCTTTACTTTTTTGACTTTCCTCATTGACACAGACAGATTTAGGTGAGATCTTAAACATTTTCATTGTTTGAAACAAACAAATAAAAAAATAAGTGCTAATTTATTTATATAAATTTGTAGATACCCAGAGAGACCTATAATATTTTTATCAGTATGCTATCTGATGGTGGCATTAACATACGTCATTGGATGGGCTGCTGGCAATTCGATATCATGTCAGGCTCCATTCGACCCACCAATGGGTGGAATGAATATTCAAATGGCCTCTGTCATAACTCAGGGCACCAAGCATGAAATGTGCACAATGCTCTTCATGGTTCTTTACTTCTTTGGAATGGCTTCCAGTATTTGGTGGGTTATTTTGACTTTAACATGGTACTTGGCTGCTGGATTAAAATGGGGTCACGAAGCCATTGAGGCTAATTCCCAGTATTTCCATTTGGCTGCTTGGGCTGCTCCAGCTATCAAGACTGTCACTATTCTTGCTATGGGGAAAGTTGAAGGTAAAGAATATTAATATTTAATTAAAGAATTATGAATTGTAAATATTATACAATTTAAGTAGTACTTTTCTGCAACGTTCTAGTCTGATCAGTTCTTTTTTTTTTTCGGTTTTTACTGCACTAAGGCAACCCACTGTACACCCAAAAATAAAGAAAAATGCTATTTAAACTAAGGTGCTATCTTACATATACGCTTAGGTGTGTTAGGACACTCGATCAAATTCATTACCTTCTAAAGAGCGTGACGTTACACCTATGCGAAAACTACTGTTTACTATACGAAACTTACATCTAAGCTTTTTCAATGAACAAAAGCACTTTTCTAGTTGATTTCGATTTGTAGATTCCAAATATGAATCTGTCACTCGTGTCAATTAATTACTAACTAGTGAGATTTAATTTACAAATATAAATTAAGAATAATTTGGCCGTAATTATAATAGTATTCGAATGTAGCTAAGCGCAGATACCGTTTCAAGAAAGAGAAGCAAGAATTGATTGATTAATAACTAATTATTGAATAAAGTTATTAATCAATTAAAAATGAATAATTCATTTAAACATTTGAGATGGCGATCTAACTGTACATACTTAAAAATTAGTCGAAACAATTGTTATTCGCTTATCGATCTTATTTTTGTAAAAGAACAAATTTACGAATTCGTAATTTAATTATTATTCAAATTATTATTTGTTGAATTAACAAACTCGATCTTGAATAAGTTTCTGTACATCATAAACTATTTTTTGGTATAAAAAATTTATATGATTTTATTGTATATTATTTATCTACTATTCATTTTTTAATTTTATTTTTATCTATAATTTTGTAATACGATTTTTCTATAACAAGCAATTGATATAAGAAAATTCTCAGTCTTAAATTCAATTTTTTATATCACAAGCTTTTCACTGCACGTGCTCGATTTCGCGTTCAAGCTTGTTCAAAGTTTGTGCAAATTTGCAAAAATAGCGTTGTACAAGCAACCCAACGTAAAAAGAGGTCTCTCCCACGGGTATAAATTCGCTCATCGTTGTACCAGATGGACTGATTTTTGCCCAGCCTTGCCTAGCAGCGCAAAGTGAAATAAATTCAAAGCCTTATACTGAGATAAGTTTTCTTGATTCAATGGTTAGCCTTGCTATCTTCGGTCCGCTGTAATCGTCTAAGAGCTTAACTTATTAACCCTCTCTCTTATGAGAAAAAAGCAGCCTCAGATAATCTCCTCTCTTATATTTTTACAAACCTAGAAATTTCTCTAAGTTTTTGTCGCGGTGCTTTCTGACTTTTCCCAGATAATATTTATTGAAATTCCAAACGGCACATTGATGTGGCGAACTGTGTGCTGAGTACGTGATCAATGGTCAACATTTATGCTTACTACGAAAACTCATACTCTCAGTCACATAGCTACCGAGGAGCGTTATCCTCGCGGCTTCAACTCTAAGTAATGATATTCCAAAAGTTTCGATATGGATTGTCGACTACACTTGCAATCGTCAATCTATATCTGCGAACTGCACAACAACTAATATTCTCATTATTTTCAATCATATTTTCTTGTCCAATTCTTGCTTACTCTCGGTTAAGCTAAGTTAAAATTAAGCGGCAAATTTATCATAGTTCAAACTTAAATTTTATAATGTATTAATGTAGCATCTTAACATTTTATTATTAATTATTAGCGTCAAATGTTCATTACATTAGCAAATAAATTAATCAGTTGATATTAATTTACTAGGTGATGTATTATCTGGAGTGTGTTACACTGGTCTATGGAACGTGGAAGCTCTTAGAGGTTTTGTTCTTGCGCCACTTTGTGTCTACCTTATACTGGGTACTATATTCCTTTTTGCTGGTTTTGTATCTCTCTTCCGTATTCGCACAGTAATGAAACACGATGGAACAAAAACTGATAAGTTGGAGAAACTCATGATTCGCATAGGAATCTTCTCAGTCCTGTACACAGTTCCAGCTCTCATCGTTCTTGCTTGTCTTTTCTATGAATCGGTATACTTTGACAATTGGATGCTTACCTGGAACATGGAGATGTGCTCGCGTCCTGGACACCAGACTATCTACTCGATTCCATGTCCTGCAGGTGAAAGAGCTAAGAATTTGGGTAGAAAACCAGATTTTGAGATATTCATGATCAAGTATTTGATGACAATGATTGTTGGCATTACGAGCAGTTTCTGGGTTTGGTCGAGCAAAACTGTTACCAGCTGGAGACAGTTTTTTCATCATATTCAGGGGAGACGTACAAACGCGTACGTATAGGAATATTGGATGAGAATGAGGTTTGATGCTAACGTTGATACTCTGGGAAATTCAATTTAATTGTTAATCATCCATCCGTTTGCCTTGTCATTAAAGTTTATGTTTTATTGACTCCAAAGTATTATTACATTACATCTAAATAGAATTGGAGACTTTTGTTTTTTAATATTACTTTTGAATTGATATAATAATAGATTCACGGCATTTATATAAAACAAAATAACAGAACAATTAAAGTATACATAAATCATAATCCACATATTTAAATAACTTCATTAATACAATGGTTAAAAGTTAAAATACAGATTAGTTTTTACTAAGTTTTGATGGTTAAACAAATAGTTGAGCAATCTACTCATCAATTGTCGGTCCTTGATATAAGTAAGTTGGAAAAATCTGATTTAACAACAAACACGTTGTTATTAATATCAGTGTGCTACTGATAAAGCAATTTATAAGCATTTCCATGAACAAATTCAATATTTATAATGTTTTAGTAAGTAAATAAGCAGATGATCCTTTATGGACTGTTGATACGGCATTAAGTTTTTCGTGAAGCAAACGGATGTGATAAATTCAGTTGATTTAGAAATTAAGTTTTATGATGAAAATACTTTTGTTGATTTTTCATTCAAATTGATTTTCAGTGAAAATCAAAGAATAAGATAACTAAAGTTACTCTCAACACGTCCAAGTTCTTTGAAGTATATTTGAATTATGGATGCGCCTTGATTTTCGTGTTCCTACAAAGTTGGTATATTAATTAACAGATCTGACAACAAGTTTACGTCCAATAACTTAGGTTTCGTTATAATTTTATTCGTGATTTATGAAATTTTGTGCCAATTAGTTTGTTTGAATTGTAAATTTTTATGCAGAATGTAAATTGGACTTATAATGTATATTATATTTTACATTATGTACTGTATTTGAAATTTGTTATGATGTGTGTGTGAAGCTTAAAGTGTATAATGATCTTAGATGACTTCCTATTAAAAGCTATTTTTTACATTTATCAAACTTGATGTGCCTGTAAAATTTAAGGTAAAAAAACACTCAATTTCAAAAATCTTCCATTTTGTGACAAATTAATGCCCAATTTTGACTTGTAATCTTATTGAATGTACTAAACTTTGAGCCAAACAAATTCAATTTGATAAGAAGTCTCCTATTTTGCAAATGGTATATACTTCATTCAGTGAAGTACTTAATAATCAAACTAACTATAACAATAATTAGATCTTATGACTATTTAGTTATTTTTGTAAGCACTTACTAATAATTATGAAACATTTGCGTATAGATTATATATTTATGATCAAATGTAATTTTTAATATCAAAAACTCTTTTATATAATATGACAAACAGCAACGCAAAAAATTAAAAATTCTAATTTACAGTTACATCATGAAACTTGTAATCATGAATCCAATCTAATCAACAAACTAATTATAAGTTTTATAACATTTTTTAAAACGTCAGTTTTTACTTGAAACTTGGTAATACTAAAGTCAATTGTTTACTCTTTTTTAAGTAACAGAAAAGTAAATAAAAATATTATTTTTTCTTGTGGAGAAATACTAACAGACTGCATGTACATAATAAAGCTTTTAACCCTATAAGATTCTAATACTCTTCACTTATGTACATATGAAAACTTTGCAGTTTTCAATATTTTTAATATTTCATTATAAGTTATAAAATTGTTAAGTCTGTTGATATGACAGTAATTTTAAAGTATTTTTTATTTTAATTGCCAATTCTATATTTAACTTTTTAAAATAACAGACTGAGTTTTCTTTTCTATCACAAAAAAATTGCAGCTTAGATGTATCAAATTTCAAGCAACAAAATCACCACTTGTTTTAAAATAATTTGTAGACGTATAGTAATGCAAAAAAATACACACATACGCGCGCGCGTGTATATATATGAGCAAATCTCCAAACCTTTTGAAATTTGTTATTAAAAAAAAACATTTCTAAGCACAGCTTTGAAAATTTTTTTTCTCTCATAGTTGGCTTTAAATAGCATTAGATAATATGAGCTATTATATAATGATTTTTTCAAGACCTTTTCTTATAAAACGGCATAATTAATCTAAACTTAAAAGTTTTCAAATAAAATCATCTTTAACCTTTTAAGGACGGGACTGGTCGATATATCGACCACCAATTTTGTCAGGCACTCCACGTGACATATTCTTTCATTTTATGCACAAATATTGTGCAAAAAAAAAAGTCAAATTTTAACGTAAAAATCCCCGTCCTTAAAAGGTTAATAGGTTACAATTGTCCAGTATTGAAATGAAAATGTATCAAATCATTTTTAGTAACAATTGAACTTTATTTTTAAAATTTTGTAAATAATAATATAACAAATTATTAGTAAAAATACAGTAGTTACAAATAATATAATAGAAAAGTGAATATTTTCAATTAAATACATTTTTTGATAGCTGTTTTCTTTGAACTAGATTCCATTTAGTTGGTTTGAGAGGAAAAAGATTACATGATCAATATTTTCTTTTTCTCTTCTTCACTGATGATATCGATTATAAAGTTAAATTGTGAAAAATAAAATTTTCATGGCACTGAATTTGCCGCGCGACATTTTTGATGTTTATTTACATATTTCAGTACACCCACAATTTACTCTATCTGTTTTGAAAAAGAAATAAGAGATGTGCATCAGTGTGAACATACGGAAATTTATTCGTTGTATTAATATTAGATTATTATAATTTTTCTAATTGTGTTCAACCAATCGACACCATGAATATGCATCTTAAGCACCATTCAAAACGTGAATAAATAACAAATGTAAATTGGGTTATACATTAATCAAAAAGGTATTTTTGTTGTGTCAATGAAATAGTACATTAAGATACAAGTGCGGGAAAATAGATTCTTGTCTTGTGTGGCGTTTACACACGAGCGAAGCGAAGGTGGAAAGGTACACGAGACGAGAAACTCTTTCCCGAACATGTGCCGTACCGTATTTTTTGATACGACGTGTGGAAAATGCGATTTTCAATGCACGTTTTTTGCCGAGCGTGCGGGAAAAACGCACTTTCCGCACGGAGTGTCGAAAAACACCTCTTTTTAACATGAGGGGGGTCACTAACTATGCTGAATATAAAAGTTTGTATGTCAGAGTATTTACAAGGCACAGAAATAAAATAAAATGTGTTGTATTGATAATTTGGAGTAGTATTTTTTATAAAGTGAGTAACACATCTATTTGTATTTTTTATTTTTTGCGTGATAGCATATTCATGAAAATTGTTTATTTCAATAATATGTTAAAAGGTATCTACAAAAAGCTTTTGGAATAACTTGTCCAAGACTTTTAACATGCAAAGAAACAAATTGTTATAGCAAGTTACAACATAAATTCTTGAAAAAATCATACATTTGCGATTTATAGCCTTATAACTATAATCGATTGCTCAAAATAAACTAGTGGAGATTTTTGGTCATCATTTTTCTCATGAAAAACCGATTTTTGATATCGATTCGTCGTTATTATAGAACGATTATCATAGAGTAACTAGAATTTTTTAAATTTTAGGGATTTGCTCACACACACACACACACGCGCACACACACACACACACTGCATCACAGATCAAATTATTGATCACATTGCTTTTCGTGTTCGATAATTGAGTGACAGCTGTCGATTGTTTCTAAGAAAGAACGTTTTTTTCCGTACAGAGAGAAAAAATTATAAAAAAAAAATTCGTCCATTGAAACTTAACGAGCTTTTGTAAATGTCTTTAAGTCTGCTATGTTGCGACGAGAGGAAGAATAAATATTAAAATAAAAGCATCCTCGAGAATTATATTATGAATATATGGATAAACAAATGATTGTGTGCGAGTGTTCGTGTTAAAAAGCACACGCTATGACCGATGTATGTATAATGTCGTATATTAAGTTATGACTGGCATTTTACAATTTTACATTTATATATTCTTTGTATGGCCTATGAAATACAAATGAGCTAATGCGTGAATGTTCACATATATATATTGTATGAGACAGATGAAAAATTAGACTTTAGACGATTGTGTCTTCTGTAATTTTAATAAAAATTTAATTGCAAATAATACAAATTATATAAAAGATTGACTGTAATGAATATTGAAAAAAAATTATTTTTTTCGATAAGTTCTCCAAATAATGTGAAGCGATTTGTAGAAATTATAAATATTGATGATTATTGCTGAATGTAAATTTATAAGACTCAAAGTTCACATGTTGTATACATTTTAATGAATAAAAAATATTGTGTAATTAAACAACAGTGTTGCATTTATATACGAACATTTTTTACTTTGACAAAATAAATTGAAAACGCTATTATTTTAATAACAATAATTTATTTTTAGTCATAATGTTTTATCATATTACAAAAAAGTCTGGTTCAATACTCGAGCAACGCGTACTCGAAAAACAACTTTCAACACCGTATAAATCTCACTGATACACCACAATTGATATCTAAGTCGAACCAACAATAACAAAAAATGTAACAATCATTTTTACTCTCATCTCGATGGCGGCGGCGTAAGTGTACTTTTTTTAACAGTAGGTTTGGGCGGTCGAAGTATTCCTTTATTTCGGAGATATCTGACGATTATGGGCGTTGCACCGAGAGTCAACGAAATCCGGATCGGTGCAAACAATTTGTGGATAGCATAGGCGATAAGAAAAGTGGAACCTTCGCCCATGATTGTGTTGACCAGAAGATCAGCATTAGGATCAGCTTCAGTTGCCGTTGGAGTGAAGATTTTTATGACTGGCGTCATGTCCAGACCACTGAAAGTAAATTGATCAGATATTTTTGTTACAATTATGTATTAAATCATGCTCATCACGATTAATTTAATGAGAAAAATACTAGATATAATTCAAATCTAAATCAATATTGCCAAGTAGAAAGTTACAATTGACAAAGCGACTTTACACTCAAGGGTTCCAATGACGTCTGATTCAATAAGATGGAGAGAAGTAGTCATTTTAAATATTCCATCTCAATATTTCCAATATGTACGTATCGACTGACCTAGAGACAAGTGCGTAGAATGTTCCGAGCGATATCAGCGAGATGCCAATGTGAAAGACAATGACAGTCCTGCCGTAGTCTCTAATAAGAAGTTGCAGCCTCTCCTTCTTTGACATCTGCATGCTCGATTTCTTGACGTCTCTTGTCTCCTCTGGTCGAGATGCAGATGCCGTCGAGTGGCTGCGAATGATGTGTTGACTTAATGAGTCCATCTCGTGATTACCTGAACATAAATCAAAGCCCTTTTGATGTTTTGTTTTTTGCTCGCGGTTACATGATTGCGCTTGATGAGAGGACTGGTCGCTTTTTCCTCTTTGTAATATTAATGTCCCAGTAATTTTGATGATTGAACATTGATTATGAAGAAAATTTTTGTTGATAATGAATAGTATTTAATGAACTTCAAAGCATACAAATTTGTTGACTTCTTATGTGGACTAAGATACAATCGGTCATTTGTGTATATGTGAAAGTTAAAGAAAGGTATAAAATTGTTGATTTGCGTTTGTAAAATTTATTAAAGTAAATTCATTACATATATCACAAAGTACATAGATACTATATATAGTTTTTGTAATTTTAATAATTTAAGTAGCATAAACTTTTAAATAAAACACTTTTATTAAACGAATTGCATTGATAATCGATGTAACATTTATAATGATACATAATTTGTCTGGCACGTGAAGTTGATATATCAAATCATACACGTAATTTTAAAATAGTATACTCGAATATATTTATTAGTGGCGATTGTACAGACTGTAGATTTGTAATTAAAATTGGTATTAGTCATTCTCTGGTCCATTTATTTATATATATTGTAAAAATTGACCATGCACAGCTAATAATTATAAAAGTATAAAAGTTGTAATACATAAATCGCTATACTGTCGAAAAACGTCGAAAATTAAGAAAATAATTTTCATAACAAAGTTTAAGATTGGAATTGAAATTCAACAGATTTGTTTTATTATTATCCTCTCACCAAACCTTATCAGTCTACTTTTTCAACTGTCTATCGGCTTTACCAGTTTTCTTGCTCTGTTGCATCTGTGCAACGCTGAAAATGGATTTCGTCATTATTTCCGCGAGATATTTGCCATCTCTTCTCCACTGTCCACCAGGCATGTTCAAGTACGTTGACCTTCCAGTGGCACAGAATGGCTTTGGTACATTGGTCTGCATGGCACTGTTCAAGCTAACAGTATCGAAGCAGTCGTATGAGTCGACTCGCGAATCCAATTGATGCATTTTGGCATGATTGAAGCTGATGGAGGCACTGGTAAATTTGTCGGTGCTGTTATTATAGAGAAATAACGGAGCGGCAATATCTCTCGCGCGTTCCGGAGTGAAACGCGATGTCACGATGTTGAAGATTTCTGAGACGTTTGACGGTAAGGGAATCGATGGAGCTTCTGGGTAGACTTTCGGTGTTGTTGCGTGTAGTTTTTCCGCGCTCGGTCGCCGCGGCGTTGTTGCTGAAATTCAGGTGGTTATTTAATATTAATATCGATTTATCGCGATTTTTTTAAATGACTGATGTAGGAAAGTTTTCATTCAGCTTATGGCGATCATGCTTCTAAAGAAATTACATTAAAAAAATAATCGCGATGTTAAATTTAACAAATCTAATTCAATAAGTATCTTTCTTTCCCGACACTTTGTAGTCGTAATCTATTTACTTGCCGATATTTTTAATTAGTTTAAAGCAAGTAAATAAATGTTGAAGTAGTAACAAAATGTAAGTTATATCTTGGTTTTGCAATCTTATCAAAATATCTCTTTAGTCTTTTAGCAGAAAAATAAAATAAGTTTCACATTATATGTTGTCCTCGTGAATTGTGATGTAAGGTGAAGACAGAAAGGAGAAAAAATTAAGATTTAGCTATAGTGTATACACTCACATATAAAGTCCCTGTAGTAAATAGTCTGGTATGAGAATTTTAAAACTGTAGAAAAACTATTTCAACGCAATTTTTTTTCGTCACTAATAACCTTTATAGGTAACATTAAATGAAAAAAAGAACAAAAATATTGTTATTCGATTATTACGAACAATGGTCATTTTACTGGATAAATTGTATATATAGACATGCGATATAGATAATAAAATGTTCTAGTGAGATATTGGATATATAATATGAATATTGGCAAAATATTACAACCATCTACTTATTTTAATGATGCTTCTATTGAAAAATTTCTTCGATCTTGGCATTAAAAATTGCTTGTTAGAGTTTTTATAATTTGAAATAATTTACTGTTATAATAATAAAAATATTTAACTAAATAGATCGTTATGATATAGTAAGAAATTATCGAATTCAATATGCTATTTGAATATTTTATTCACGTAATAACGTCAAAAATTCAACAATACTGAACTGGATCAACGCAACTGAAATTTAACTTTTATAAAGACACTAACTTTAGGTAACAAATCATTTGACAGTTCTTTATTGTTTTGATTAAGCTACAAGAATACATATGATGTATATATCTAATAACATAAGTCGTAAATGATTAGAGGTTTAGGTTAGCTCAAATATAATAACTTCGAGAAATAAACTGGTGAGGAAAGGGAAAATTAAAAAACCTACCTGTATAAGACAATCTCGCAAAAACATTAGCGAGTTCAGCCGACGAACCAATACGTGATAATGCCATACTTTGCCAATTGAGAAGCTCGTAAAAACTATTAGTCGCGTGAGAAGCACTGCCTGCGCGAGTAGTTTTCTGGCTGTGACCGGGACAATGAACAAAAACAAGCTGTTATACTTAATCAGAAGGTCTCGATATTCGAAAGTCTCTTGATTTGTACATATATATATATGCGCGTTTGTATAATTGCGTGTAAAAACCAGTTTCATTCGACGAGCAACCTCGACATAAAGCTATATACACTCTGCTATCCTTTCTTCTATATACTGTACGACGCACTATATATATATAGTTAACGTGCACGGAAGAATGTACGTAACTTTCCGAATTTGCGAATCAATTCTTTATACTTTTACCGCTAAACTTGATTTTAATGCATAATATCACAAGAATTGGTTGCAAACAATTAGCTTAGATCTTTACGTGGAAGGTGAAACTTGTGTTTATTGTTAGTGTGTATATTGTTTTACTAGAAAGTCGACCGAGTCGACCTGAGATGTTCATGTTGAGGTGATTGACGATGGATGTCGCTAAATGGGATTAATTTATAGGCGGGAAAGTTTAAGTAACGTCGTTATTATAATATTCAATTTATCATTCTTATCATTATTTTTTAATTAATTTTTATTCGGTAGTTTGAATAGAAACAATTGTTTAAAATTTAGCGTTGTCTTTATTAATGAAAATTATCAAAGAAATATTGTAATCGCTCAGATGAGTTAATCGTTGATGATTGGTATTTATGTAGTTAAAGCTTACATCAATTAGGCATCAACGATTGTATGTCACAGGACTTTTATCAACTCATTTCTCCAGTTGTTTGTGACGCTTCAATCGGATAAAATATATATATGTATTACTTTCTAAAAGTTTTATCAAGCGTCGATCACTTACAAGATATCAGAAATCTGCGTGATTATGATAGCATATTTTTTTATAATAATTCTTTAGTTATTCAGATTAATGCAAAAAATTCTGCGGATACGATGTAAAACCATATACGGTTCCGTCAAGACAACGATTGGCAACGTGAAAATGAAGTTTCCTGTGTTGAGTGTGTACAGCTTACTAAATTCTACTCTATTCAGTACTAATTATATAAAATAGAGTATAATCAGTACAATTATTTATATAATCATCTTTTCGCGTCAATTATTTGTCCAAATTTTTTAAATACTATTAATTTTACTGAATAGAATACAATTAGCACGATTCAATAATTCACCAATAATTCACGTCAATTATTTTTTCTAACTTTTTAAATAAGTATTCAACTTCCACATATCTGAAAACTAGTTTGTTAATTGAAAAATTGATAACTGCTGAAACAATTAACTAAGCTAATTGTGGAAGTAACCAAAATTCAAGATCAAGTTAACGCTATGGAATAATTTTCGAAGGTCTCTAATGTTTGATAATTTTCAAATAGCACTTCATTGACCAATGTTCCCACAGAAAAACGTGAGAAAGATAACGTACAACCGCTCAAAAGCAAATACAACTTCTAAAATTTATCTTTGCTTGATATCACTGCACTGATAAGCGATGACCTTTCCTTTACATTGGTTATTCAGTGTTGATCATCAAACTCTCAACAAATGTCAGCAACCATGATGGAAAATAAATGACGCTTACGATATTTTAGAAAATAAAACTATATATTTATTGCGGATAAGTATGATTCTAAAAAGTATTTTGACGACACTTAGCGGAAGATGAAATTTTTGCTTTTGAGAATATTTGTATAACAAGCGTGGAGAAAATTGTCAATATATACAACTATTTTATTTTTATAGTATGAACTTAAACTTAAAATCTTCAACTTTAAATCAACTAATATTAATACTACCTTCGCTGTATAATTTTATTATATTCTGTACTAGTATTGAGCAAGATTTATAAGGTATTCTTTTCTGGATAAACGAGATAAGTAGCTACATATGTACATATGTTCTTAATTTTCAATATATATCTTCAATTTCTTTTTATTTTACAATATTCTCAGAGTAAACTAATTTGTTATTGTAAATATTTATGCAATCAGACATACTCAATCCATATTTTTAACTAAAACAAATTTTGATACGATGAAAATTGAAACCACAATTACTTTTCAATAATCATTCTCTGCATCCGCAAGGGCCGAACTTTGACATCATCCTCTGCAAAATTGTAATAGCAGCATTACACGTTACGGCAGAGGCGTCGTCATACATGATGAATATATAAGCAAACATGAGGGGAAGAATGCGAGTGCGAGAGAGAGAGAGGGACTGCGGCGAATCTATCATCGTCGGTTGGTCGGTACTTTCAGCTGCTTCCAGTCGCCTATCAGCTTCGAACTGAGTATAGCGCTTTCTTTTTATTGTTCGTGTAACAAGTGAATTTAAAAATAAAAAAGGAAGCTATGGCTCAAGGTGCAAGGTTTACCACTTCATTTCTGAAGACGAGCAGCAACAATGCAGTACAATCAAGATTTGGGTAAATAATCTGATTTTCCCGCAAGTATTTCTAACCTATGCGTGCTCTACTTACATCGCAATTTATACGTACGTCTCTACGAGATGAAATTCCGTTCCATCGAGATGTGTCCATCTTCCTTACCACGTGGACTTTATAATTTGTTTGTTGTTCTATAATTACATTTGCTTTTCTACATTTCATACCGTTTGTTCATTTTGTTCGATTTTGCTCGATTTTGTTCGATTCTGTTCGATTTTGTCGATTTAAAATTTTGATTGTTATTAACAAAGATATGAGTTAAATTTTCACGGATGATTTTTAATAGTCAATACTTATTTTCTTACTCAAAAGAAGGTGATTTTATATATGTGACTGATAAATTTGTTCTTATGCTGGATTTTAAGTAACATTATATTAATTTTTTTATTTTATTGAAAAATTTAAAGAAATTACTACAGATTTCTAGATTTCATATAATTTTTATTGAAAAAAAATTATTTACAATAGATTACTAATTTTATCACTATATTTTTTAGCTCATGGTGGTCTCATGTTCAGATGGGACCCCCAGATGCCATCCTTGGTGTTACTGAAGCATTCAAGAAAGACCAAAATCCAAAGAAAATTAATCTTGGCGTTGGAGCTTACAGAGATGATAATGGCAAACCATTCATGCTTCCAAGTGTGATAAAGGTTGAAAAATATTAATACTGTACAAAATTTTTAATTTTATTGAGTAACAATATAACAGTTTAATATTCACCATTCTAATAACATTGGTTTTTAGGCAGAAGCAAATTTGCGTAGCAAAGTATTAGATAAAGAATACTCTCCAATTTCTGGAAATGTAGAGTTTTGTAAACATTCTATTAATTTGGCACTTGGTGATGATAATGATGTAGTTCCAAATGGCCGTGTAAGTATATTATGTTATATGTTTTACTTTAAATTAATCTGCAATGTTATATTACAATGGCTATTTAATTTGTAGAATGCAACCGTGCAAGGTATTTCTGGAACAGGATCTCTGTGCATTGGGGCCAACTTCTTATCCCATTTTTTTCCTGGTAACAAAGATGTATATTTACCTACACCTTCATGGGGTAACCACGCACCGCTTTTCAAGTTAGCTGGTCTAAATGTAAAATCATATAGGTACTATGATCCCAAAACTTGTGGTCTCGACTTCCAAGGGGTTTTAGATGACATTAATGTAAGGAAATCAGATTTTTTCACATTTTTCTTTACATTTAAAAATTGGTATTAATGACATTACATTATTTTATTTCAGAAAATTCCAGAAAAATCTATTATTCTCTTGCATGCTTGTGCTCATAATCCCACAGGCGTGGACCCTAAACCAGATCAATGGGCTGAATTATGTCAACTTATTAAAAAGAAGAATCTGTTTCCATTCTTTGATATGGCTTATCAAGGTTTTGCATCTGGTAAATACTTTACAATTATGTGATAAATTTTTACAAAAAAAGGTGAAGTTTTCATTTGTAATAATGTTGTATTTTTCAAAGGTGATGTAATGAAAGATTCTTTAGCAGTAAGATTATTTGTTAAGGAAGGACATCACATTGTTTTGGCTCAGTCATATGCGAAAAATATGGGATTATATGGTAAATATTAATTAAGATTATTTACATACTCTTTTTTCTTCCCTTAGGAAAGGCTATAAAATAATATATTTATATTTTTAGGTGAGCGGGTCGGAGCTTTCTCACTCATTGGCGCTGATAAAGATGAAGCGTCTCGTACCATGTCTCAAATTAAAATTCTTATTAGGCCGATGTATTCAAATCCACCAATCAATGGAGCTCGCATTGTTACAGAAATTTTGGGTAACACAGAGCTCAAAAGAGAATGGTTGGTCGATGTAAAAGGTATGGCCGACCGGATTATTTCAGTACGTACGAAGCTTCGTGACAATTTAAGAAATAATGGTAGTACTCGTGACTGGTCCCATATTACCGACCAGATAGGCATGTTCTGCTTCACTGGCTTAAAAGCTCCCGAGGTAAACGCGTAATAATCTACACAATTTTTTAACTTTATTAAAAAACACTAAAAACTTGATTTTTGTATTTTTATAAAGGTCGAACGGCTTACCAAGGAGTTCAGTATTTACCTTACTAAAGATGGAAGAATATCAATGGCTGGAGTAACATCGAAAAATGTAGAATATCTTGCTCATGCTATTCACGAAGTTACCAAGTAATTTTTTCATCGAAGCAGCGTATCTATGAATTGCCTTTCATTATCTATAAACAACAAAAAATAATTATCTATTGTGCAATCTAATATCAAACTGGTATGAAGCTTATGCTTTGTGTCATTTATACATAAACTAGTATACTTGTATTTTTATAGAAAATCGAAGAAGAAAAAAACATGCATTTACTTCAGTGTAATTTTTAGAAAAAAAAACCACTGCTGGCAGTGTAGTGAATGCGAATTTGAAGAGTCCTGCCAAAAATATGTTTTATACACTAACTGCATTCCTTTTACGTTTGATCATCAATATTTTATAAATATACTTATATTATCGTTACTAAATAACCACATATGCTTACTATTTTTCTTCACTCATATTTAGTCTTGTAAAGCAAGTTTTGACAAAGTTATTCATATAGATAATAAAAATACAACTATTGTCACTCACTTCAAAAAATCATTGTAAATTGTAGATAATGTTGAAAAAAAAATAAAATAATTTGTTTCATTACCGAAAGATTTCTGCTTTATTTGAAAGACTTATGTCTGCACTCTAACTTGTCCTATCTATCTATCTAACACACTGTCACTGTCAAAGCCGGATATTAACCTTTTAAGGGCCCGGGACGAACATACGGCTGGGCCCACTTAAGGAATTCAAAAATCTGGTCTGACTGATACCCTGGGCCCGGGGCTATAGACCACCCAAGCCCCTAGCTAAATCCGGCTCTGGTCACGGTTGAAGCAAAGGCCCAAAATGTACGTTGCTCTCTTTCTCGCTCTGGTCTCAATAATCTTCTAGACATACATGCTCTCTCTGTAGTCTCTCTCTCTCGCACCCTCCCACCATTATATTGATAAAGACATCCCTTCTCATATTACCTTAGATTTATTCATTGTAAATTATGATCTTAAAGAAGTAGCAGATTTTTAGAAACCTTCCATCCCTTTTATAGCTGGTCACGACTTAATCGAAATTTCTATTCGCTGCGGTTGGGTTAACCCTGTTACAAAAACTATATGTACTCGTCAGCTAAAGAAAGTCGATCCCAACAAGCTTCTAAACACTTTACTTCATAGTTTCAACAACCTACTGTGCATCTTATCAACCTTTAAATGCATTATCTCAGTTTAGCTCCGCCTTAAATTTAAACTCATACGAATCTTCCTTTATTTACTTAATCATCTCTACATTAATCAGGCTGCTCCAGTTCGCACCATCAAGCTCTCCTCCGAGCGTAATAGCCATGGATCACCCCAGACATTCGTGCTCTCATTTCACGTCGTGATCATGCGTACAAAGTTTCAACTTCAACCGTATCTATCCGCGACCTTACCACACATAAGTCTGCGCTTTCAGGTTTCAAATACAATGGATACAGCTAAAAATAATTATATCAAGAAAGAACTCGATGAAGCTCCAAAAATCGAAGCAAAATGGCGGGGATTTCGCTTTCTCGATCTTTTAAATAAAACCTACGGCTTTCCTTTCACTCTTTCTACCACTAATGAACTTAACCGACATTACGCTTCTATCTCTATGACCCATCTTTCACTAGATCTAGAAGATTTTCCTCCATACTCATAAATACCCTAATAGATTTTGCAGACGAGAAAGAGTTTTTGAGTTGTACACGTGGAGTGCAGGACGTACCTTTGAAAATGAAAGCGTAGCACATTGGGAAATAGGGAAATTAACGCGCTAGAGCGGGTTAGGCACACGTGTAAGGGTTGTGTTCATTTTCGCCTGTTTTTCTTAAAAAAAAAAAAAAAAAGAGAAAGTTTAAGAATTGTATTAGCTTTCACCTGTTTTTTTTTTTAAAGAGAAAGTGCAAGGGTTGTGTTCATTTTCGCCTGTTTCCTCAAAAGAGAAATTTCTTTAAGGTTATCGAAAAACAATTTAGGAAATTAATAACGCTACTGCGATCCTTGAAGTGTAAATCGAGCGGATATTTTCAATTCTATGCGAGAATTAGTGACGTTTTCTGATGCACCTTTCGCGGAGATACACGCGGCCGTGAACAGCCGATAACGCATTGCATGGTCGTCGTCACTGCCCTCGGATCTACGTGTGACTTCTTATATGATTAAGGGAGCCACGTAATTGCAACTTGGGAGATAAAAATCCCGTAGTTGGAAAACAAATAAATGCGAGGAAAATTTAAAAAAAAAGACTCCTGTACCTCGATTTGACTGGTAGGCAGTGAGCCGCTACGTGCGTCGAGTCCCACGACTCGGAAGAGGAGCAGGGCGGCAGGCCGCGCAAAAAATGATTTAGGGCCCAAAGAGCTTTCTCCTGGGTTTTTGGCCATAAACGGGAGATGGCTGCAAGGAGGGAAAGTCTGATGAGCATATTCGGGGGTGCTCGGAAAGCAGACCTAATGTTCGGCCGGACATCTTCCAGGCGTTTTCTGGATCCTTTCTCGTTTCCGCGATTTTTGAGTAACTCAACGTTTGCGTATTTTGTTGTATAAGCGTTCTTTTTCTTTTTTATATCTGTAATATTCTCGTAGTTTTAAGTTGCTTGTTTTTTTTGTAATATTCATCGTCAAACAGTTCCTTGTGTTTGTGAAATAAAATAAATCTAGAGTGTTAGAAAAAGTGAATTCGATTATTTCCACCCAATTCAGCCGAACACTTTTGGTCGAGGATTTGATCGCATCTCTGGAAAAATGATAAAACTTATTCTCAACTCCATACTCCCATACCTCACTATTCTCTTTAATGAATCAATTGAAACAGGTATTTTCCCCGAGTTCTGGAAAAAATTCCTAATATGACCTTTAGTTAAAACAAATACACCAACTTCTCCTACTGATACTCGTTCTATTTCAATATTAAGCAACTTTTCTAAAACCCTTAAACATCTACTGCATATTCAACTGTCAAACCACCTTAAATCGAATAACCTCCTTGATCCTCGTCAGGCTGGTTTTCATCGAGGACATAGCACTCAAATTGTCCTCCTTGCTGTTACTGATGATATACGTCTAGCAATAGAAAATAGAAAATTAACTTTATTATTACTTTTTGATTTTTTAAAGCCTTTGACTCCATTCCTCATTCATCGCTTATAAAAAAGAGCTTCGCTCTTTCAAACTTGATGACACCACGCTTTCCTGGTTCCATTTCTACCTCACTAATCGTCTCCATGCTGTCATCGACGACTACGGTAATACATCCGATTTGCTGCGTACATTATCTGATATGCCTCAGGGTAGTATTCTTGGGCCTCTCCGCTTTTCCATCTTCATAAATGACCTCCCAAAGAAACTGAATAGAGCAAACTATATAATGTATGCCGATGATTTACAAATCTATCTTCACGGTAAATTTGTCGATCTTTAGTCTCTAATCACCGTAGCACAGGCAGAGGTTGACTGTGTTAATGAATAGGCACATGCTAATGGCCTTTGCCTAAATACCAACAAGACTAAGCCTTCATCTTTGGCAGCGAACTTTATATTTCTAAACTGAACTTGAGCGCGTTTTTACTCACTTTCACTTAACGACACAGCTATAGAATATTCTTCACTAGTAAAAAATCTTGGGTTTGCATTATCTGATAAACTTGATTGGAAGCAGCACTGCAGCACGGTCATTTGCAGGATCCATGGATCCTTAGATTCTACAAAAAGTCATTATTCATTGATTTAAAAAGAAACTTGTCGAGTCACTAATTTTTCCGCACTTTGATTATTGCTCATTGGTATTTATGGATCTCGATAAACAGTGCACTACTGATCTGCAAACTGCCAATAATACCTATGTTCGTTTTATAATAAGCTTTGTCCTCTATATACCAAATTCTCTTGTCATTTTGCATATAACGCATCATAGGCTGTTACTTGGGTGGCTTACATTATCAAACAAACCCTTACTCTCTTTCGGTTCCCTGTTTTTTAAACTAATTGCTACTTCCATTCCTTCCAACCTTTTAAACTTACTATTATCCTCCACAATTCAGTTAAGTACTCCAAAGAGTACTAGAAATCCCTCCTCGCTTTTTACCTATTACGCACCCAGAATCGAATTATGGAATAATTCTTTCACAATAACCGGTTCACGACTACTTAACAAACTATCAGTTACTGAAATTAATCTTAATACGTTTGACGAGTTTAAGTCATGGTTCCGGTCTTTGCTTTATATCATGGAAAGATCACAACTGGCACTCCAGAATCTGCAATGAAAACTTCACATCTTCCTTCTTACCTGATTTTTTGTCTCATTTAACCCTTCCATTTCATGCCTCATATTTTACTTGTAATTCTGATTATCTACTTGTTCCTGAACGATACTTAAACTCAAATCTTTTGGTCTCAATTCTACATCCAGCTCACCTTCCTGCCAAACTTTAATACGGTCAATTTTCCTCGTTCTCTTCATCCCCCTTCTCACTTCTTTCCCTTTCTATCTCTAAATTCGTATGTAATTATGCCATTCGCTATGTTAAATACACCCGAAGTTTAACTAACCATCAATTGAATTATATTCTGTTTAATTATTAGTAATTCTATTGTAATTTCGCATAACTCACTATCATCTATTTCTTGATTATAATCGATTCTACTACTATTATTTTATTACTTACTACTTTGTCATACTATATAACTTTACTTTGTATTCATCACTTATATTGCGATTTAACTATTATATTAAATATAACTTATATTTATCTCATCACCAGATAAGTAGTTAATAAATAATCAAATCTCTCAAACTCAATATTTACTGTAAAAAACATAGCAAATTCTGAAGCGCTATTACAGCTTTCTGTTTTTTACAAATCTTCTCGATATTTATATATAATACAAATCCTATTTCGATATTCTAGGTAAATGCTTGAGGTCTAATTTTGACAGCAACGATGGTGCAGTTTGACAGGGTATGTATCTGCTATAACAGTATATTACAATACGCGTGACTTAAATAGCCCATTATTGCACTGCGTGATTTAGATAAGCGAGGGCACATTGAAGGTATTGATTTCTAGTTTTTATACTGCTTTCTAAATTTATTATAAATGTATGCTAGATTAAGCTATAAGAAATAACATTAGCCTTAATTTTGATGACTTTATGCTGCTCAATCATAAAAATGCTACAAAAAATATTTTTTGCGAACATTTCTAATTATGTTCACGAGCATTTTTGGTTATCTGTGTAGCGAAGAAAAAAAGAATTCTTTCAATTTTAGACCTCAAGTAGTTGACATTTTATAAATTTTGTCCTATTACACGTTATACTCTTTGAAATTTTGAAATTTAATTTTTTATGGGGGAACGGGTTTAATAATTGGGATCATCAATTGACTGTTTTCTTTACAACTCCACACATGTTTTCATATCAGCTGTGAATCATTTTTATTAACCTTATTAGGTCTTACAAAATGTGCTTATCTGAGCATACGTACGTTTTCATTCAAGCGTAATATTTTTTTATAAAACGAAACCGTTATAGTATTCAATAAATTCATACAAGTCAATTCAATTGAAAATTAGTTATATCAGAACTGTATTTTATCACATAATTCATCTCCCAAACTACGCTGCAATTCTTTAAGTAGTCCTTCTTTCACGATTTCTTTTATTCGGTTATTTCTGTAAATGTTGATACAACTTTTTTTATTAAATGAAATTAGAATTAATGAAATATTCGTGAAGACCGGAGAGTTAGGAAACTTACTCTGAATCTTTATTCTCTGTAAAAATAAACTGGCAGTTTTCGGCACGTTTTCCGTCAGAAGACTGTATAAAAAAAATTTCGTTTAATCAATTGTTGTACTTTATTCATAAAAAAACTAATTGACAACGTTTTTATACCAGTTGAGCAGTTCCTCTTGTTTCTAAAGTAAGAAGAGCTCCTTTAGAATTGATGTTATATTTTCTATTGTACGGACGAGTTATTCCTAAAATTGATCAAGTATATCGGGCTATCAGTATTGTTGAATTTCTACAAACTATTGCATTAAGTTAATATGGAGAAGTTGTCTACCTTGCGCAACGATCAAACTAGCCTTCGGTATGAATATTTGAACGGATGTAGAATCCTGGTTTCGAAGTACTTTCAAATCATCAGTATTGTATGAATATCGTAGTAATCCCATAGAATAAAAGCTCGTCTTGTTAGAATCAAGATTTAGTGGAAACACGACGTTGACTCGTGCTGAAATGCAAAAGTATGCATCCTATCGGATATGTTGTTTACAAGCCTTATTAACGAATTCTATCGAAAATATATATAATGATTGTGGACAATAGTGACAATCAACGTAATATACTTACAGAGAGCATCATGAATATCTGATAAATTTATCGGTATAACTGTACAAATCACTACACAACAGGCTATTGCAAAAGTGTTCAACGAATACATCTTGTTTATCATTGATGATCAAAATATCAATGTTGCAGCGGCTGCGATTCTTCTGTTAAATAACGTATTTGCTCAAAATGAATTTATAATTAATCGAATTTTACTTCTCTATTTTTAATATATATTATTTTCTTTTCCATAAATACTTAGAATGTATTTACCCGAAATATTTCGTTTTGCCAAAGAGCATCTGATATTGTTGCTATTGAACTGCAAAATGTGGGATCACTTGAAATATAAAACCTCTTCTCGCGTACTTCACAATAGGCAATGATTGTTTAAGCAATTGTATGATATATTGACACAAAGGGGGACAAAAAGGAACTGTGGTCAATCCGACTGCACGTACGGAGGTAGGTCGAGAATCTTTTAAAATTCAAGGTGCGCAGTTTCTGAACTCTCTTTCATTTAGAAATCCGTGATTTGGCAACAACGATCAGTTTTAAGGTTGTTCTGTGATTATAGGCTTGAATTAATGGTCTAAAACATAGTTCAGACGTAGCCTTCAAAGGTATAACTTTTCTGCATTGTCGTATATTGTAAAGGTAAATGACGCTTGACTAAATAGTAACTGACAATAATATGATTTTATACTAGATAGGTTTCAACTTATTTATTCGATTCGTTGCATTTATCACTGAGCGTGTATACAGTAAAATCAATCTCCGGTATATCTTTCAGTCATAAGTCCTTTTTAATTTACAATTTTGCAACCATTAAGTTTTAAGAAAAAATATACTGAGATATGCTAGGTTTTCTAAATAATGGAGCATACCCCAGCCCCTTGACAGCATGATAAACGTTCGAACGATTTCTGTCGAATCGATTACACCCTGTTGTGTTTGTTTCCATGGACGCTGAATTGGACTACGTCACCAGGTGCATACGAGGTACACAAGAAACCGGCACGTTGTAAATTAAAAAACGTCCGCCAAGTCTCAATACGTACAACTGATTTTTATTTCGAAAATTGTCGAGTAAATTTCAATGATTTTCGAAGAAATAATATAGTGACGACGCTTCAATAATGGTTAACGCAATTGAAGAAGTTTTGAACGATTTAGGTTGGAATGATGGCTTTCGTATTCCAATTGCCAATGCGGAAAATAAGCAGCTGGAAGAGGAAGTAAGTATCTTTTTTATTTATTTATTAGAGTAGTTAGGAATAAACGTGACAGTAGGATGTGGCGAGTACTATTAACGTAAGCTTTTTCTTGATGATACCAGTTATAATTTAATTTTGATTTAGTTTAATTAATAGTTTTCGATCTTAAAAATAAATAGTACACGTGAAAATACTACAATTTTATCAACTGTTAATATTTTTTTGAACGGGCAAGCCATATTTATTATTATTTCCTTCATACAAACGATAGTGCACAATAATATACTTTTACATTTATTGCAAATTATATGCTTTTATGATTCATATGTAAAAGTAATATAGAAATACTCAACAGGCACATATATACCAAATGTAATATTTTCAGATTGAACGTAAATCTCGCCTTCGAGCATCGCTCAAATCGCAGTTGGAAAACACTCTCGAGCGTATCCAGGACATCCGCAAGCATGCATCAGACGTCAAGCAAGAGCAAAAACATAATCAAAAACTTTTGTCTGCACATTCGACTCAGGTTGAGACAGAAAACCATCTTTACCGTCTCTCTCAGAGCGAAGAATCGAAACTGGCTCAGGAGATGAAACAGCGTGAAAAACAGACGCGAGAACTGAACGACAAGATCATTATGATGAAGCAAAATGTCGTAAAGTTGACGAAGAAGCTGGAGAACACTAAAAGAAATATACAATTGGACAAGGATAGGCTATTGAGTTGGGAAGAAAAGTTGAATAAGAAAGAAGAGAAGAATATGATAATCGAGCAACTTGTCAAGTCGGATGAAAAAGATTTCAAGGTGAGATGCCAAATCGAGTAACATCATAAAAATCTGTATTTGAGCCAGAGGTTGAACAATTTCTTTTCAAATTGTTAATTTTCGTGTTGTTAAGAAAATAGAGTTGGAACGACAGCAGCTCAGTGAAAAAGCCGAAATTTACCGACAAACTGTGATTAAATCCGTCGGGGATATTCAAGAATTAGGTGAATTTTCAATTTACATACTATTTTAGATTCACGCTATCACACCTTAGTTCATTAATTTACATTATTTTCGTGCTCGATTTAAAATTTATCATCTCAGAGTTGACACTGGAAAGAACAACGCATCTGTACAGCCAAGCGGTCAAGGATCGTCGTCAATTGATGGACCAATGGACTCAGAGCGTTAACGTGCTTACGCAACGCGATAAAGCCATTTACGATGCACTCCAAGTTAGTTGATTGAACGTTAAAACTTTCATGAAAATACTATGAATGTGGGATAAGCAAAAGTCTTAATTATTCGAAGGAAATTAATTTCTTACGCGAAGTCGCAAAAGAGAGAATGGACGTTTATCAGGATGCCGAGCGATTTTTATCGATTCAAGAGAATGAAAATAAGGAACTTGAGGACAGCATCAAGCAATTGGAAAGAGATCTCTCATACGTCAGAGAAGAACGTCAAAAATTGTCTAGCATAATCGATTCGTACACAATAGAAGTAAGAATCGCTTATTAAATATTATTCCTTCGATAGGTTTGTTTGCGTGATATTGCAAATGAAATTTCTAGTTGTATGTCCGGCAAAAACATTTGCAAGAATTGGCGCGACGCATCCAAGACACTCGAGCAAACTTGAAGCGCAAGCGCAGCGAAGTCGGGGACAAAAGAGCGAAAGTGCAAGAATGTACAAAAAGGATTGAAGATCTGAAGGAGACCTTGAAAAATATCGACGGTCAAAAGATGAATATCGAGGAGAGAACCTTCCAGTTGCAAGATATGCTGGAGGTATGACAAAGTCACGGCAAAATGTTACAATGGAAAAAACACGAAAGCACTTTGAAAATTGATTTTAGAAAGAAGAGAAACGAAAGCTCGCCATCCTGAAGGAGATCAAGCGTCAGCAAGCCCTAATTCTGCGTACGACAACGCAGTTTAGCGAGCTGGAAGGCGAGCACAAAGTGCTGTTACTTCGCCATCAGGGAGAAGCCAAAGAATGGGATCAGCTATTAGCTGAGCAGGCCAAAGAAGAAAAGTCGATCAAAGACAAGCGAGAAAGCGCGTATCACATCGATGTCGAACTACAAAAGTGCGAGATGAGGCTGGCTAACATTCTTGGACAAGAGAGAGATAAAGATGAATTAGAAGCCAAGCACCAAAGATCGAAGCATTTGCAAAAGATTCTGCAGGAGAAGACCGAGACCATCAAGACATTACAAGGTCAATTGGCTCAAGTTGAGGTACAAAATCTTTATTCTTGCATGTTCGGACTGAGACGAATTGGGAAATATGTATTTTCTTTCTTCGTAGAACGAAGCACGGAAAATATCAAACTCGATAGCAACTAATAACGAGGAGCTGCAACGTTTGAAAGGCAAGCAGCAGGAACTTTTAGTGATGATCGAAGGTGGAGAGAAGCAATTAAAAGCAGCGCAAAGTAACTATGAAGAGCGAAAGGTGGAGGAAAGTATACTGGAATTAAGATTGAAAGAGGCAGGAAAAATCGTGTCTAAGGTGGACGACAAGCTTTATGACTTGGAGAAATATGCTATTCAAATAGAGGCTGTAAGTCTAAAATTAATCTTTTCAGTTTTTTTCTTTCATCAATTACATTTCTTCGAACAATAGTTTATTCGGAATATTTTGCTTGAGTATCATAAAAATATTCGGACGTACACTTATGAATTTATAACAAACGCGCTTGAGAATTTCCTAAATAAGCAATAAATGTTGAAATTTCGGAGTATTTCCTGCTTCTAAAGAAAATGATACATGATGTAATGTTTGGAAATTGCAAGAATGCCAACAGTCGCGTCAAATAAAAAAATGCAGCTGATATGATTTTATATGAATGATCCTCAACAGGCAATGCAAGAGCGAAAATCGGATATTAAAGTGCAAAAGGAGAGTCTAAATCTTCAACGTAAAGTTGTGTTAAACGACTGCGCGGAGCTTCGTATGATGATAGCTGAAAGGCGATCGAGAATACAACAACTTCAAGCTCGATATGATATCCACGTTGCCATGTTGGGTATTAATCCCGAGGACGGATCGCCCATTACTTCTACTTACCTCGCTATCCAAAGTGCTCAGGTATTTCTTGAAGGTGTAGTTTATTTCATTGAAACGAACTGTCGTCTCATTAAAAACAACAATTGAAGGAACGCTATCTCCTGAAAGAGCGTGGTGACAAGCTCAACCAAACGATCCGCAAAGCTGAAATGGAAATTCGTAGTATGGAGAATACTTTACGGCTAGTGAACGTTTGTAACGACAAATATAAATCGAGCCTGTCGCTCGTCGACGATGACAGTGCCGAGAAAGCAGAGCAACGTAAACTCGACGAAGAGCTTCTTAACGTTCTCGAGCTGAATAGACAAAAACAATACGTTCTAGATCAACTTGAACAGGATTACAAGGTACGAGCATGTTTTTGTTTCTTCTGTTTTAAAAATTCTTCAGTATATTTAATTGCTGTAGCGAATGGAAGACAATTGCGAACAACTCGATAAAGACATCAAAAAGATCAAAGATGAGAGAGAACTCAAACGTCAAACAGTTTCCAATTTGGAACAACAGATAACCGAGCAAAAGGAGAAAATACTGCGAGCCGATAAGAATCTGCGCAAAATTTTGAAGGACATTCAAAACAAATGCGTCTGTGAATCCAGCGAAACGCTTCTGTTGCAAGAGGTAATTCACACCAGAATTTCACCAACAACGCGTTCTCACACGTTTCGAATTGCTTTCATTTGTATGGTACCAGAGAGACATAGCAGTGCGCGAGTTACAAGAACAAAACACTCTGGCTCTGCAACGTATCACCGAGTTTACTATTCGACATCTCGAGGCTGAGGCTTACGTGAAGAAGCTCCTCACCGAGCACAGCATCAGTTTGCCGTGCACGTACTATCTACGGCAACAGGCGACACCGATCACTTCGAGTCGATGTGAAAGTGCTATCAGCTCTTCTAGAACTAGTCTATTACAGCCGGTTTCGTCATCGAGGGAAAGTGCTATTCAAGGCTCGGTCGCACACTTCAAGCCTGATTTTTCCGGTGACTTCTTTTAATCCACGTCTTTTTCATCATTTCTACTTTTCAAATAGATTGTGACTTTTTTTGTTTGTTCACAGCGGTCGAATCGGAAAGATCTTCAAAAACTAGTCTTAAATCTACACACCAAAAGAAAAAGTCGAAGAAAAAATAGTAACATCAAGCTCCGCAGAAAAATATTTTTTTTTATAGAGTAATTTTAACTGTGCAATGTCTTTTTAATTTATCACTTTTTTTATTTATGAAGATCATTTTAATAATACAGCTAACTACGTGGTTTTTTTTTATCAATTAATAATTTAAAACAATGTGCAATCTTTGAACGTGCATTTATGTATGTATAATTAACAGTTTACTGTGCGTTTTTCCACAAATTAAATTAAATATAGTGATAAAAGCATCATATATTTATGGAGCAGTTATTTTTTTTCATTTTTTAACGTTACGATAATATTTTCGCTTTTGTTTAAGACAAAATGTTACTAACATTGTCGAACCAATATCTCAAGCGCTATTTTATGAGGGTAATGTTTGCGTGACGTTACTACAATTACCAAAACGTTGAGCTAACATTGTTACGACGCTTCGCTAGAATACAAGGTAAGTTTTTAATTTCATGAAATCAATTAGCCATTATGTACTGTTTTCACAACATTTTTGTAATATTTTATTCAACGTTGACTAAATATCATTGAAATTGTGATGCAAACATCATTGTTTGCTCTATATAAAAAAAATTCACTACCAACCAGAAAACATTTGTATTAGCAGTGTTATCATGATAAATAACGTTGCAGCAACATTTTAGGATAGCAATTTCATGGCTACGGGTACTTACTAATGCTCACTATTAATACATTCACAAATGATCAAGTAACGTAAGAATGTACATTTATTCACATCTCATAAGTATGTACAACTTGCATATTAATTAAAAAAAGATTTATCTAATTTGTGTGATAAATGCAACATATAATCCTCCTCCTTTTTATTTTTTTATAAAAGAAGAGAAACCTGATAAAATAAAGCCAGTTTATTTGTTATCTGATTGGCTGAAAGATAGTTCTGTGATCAACTGTTCTCTGATCAACTGTTATGTGATAGTATGTACATATATATGTGGTGTATGCTTATGAAAGATTACTGCATATTTTCGTAGATGATTAAATGTTCGAAAAGTGTATTAATATGAGTGGCATGAATTTTGTATGAATCAATACATTGATAGAGAAATTAATTAAACTTTGTTCTATACGAAAATTTAGCTTCAAACAAAGCAAGCAATAATAAAATATATATATATATATATATATATATATATATATATATATCGATAGATTATATATTAAGAGTTTATTAAATGACGTTAACATTAGAAATTTTTTTTTGAAAATGCATTATGATTACAACCGTAAATATCTATCGAAATATCTTATTGCTATATCGTGAAGGATATTGTGGCGATTGAAACGCGCTAAGCTAGCGCTAGATGGCATCACACTTAGCTCCGACAGACGACGTGCACGAAAGCAAGCACGAGGAATTAATAACCCGGGGGAACGGTGTACGATTGTGATTCTTTATGAATTCATTAACGTGATTCAACTCACAAAATAATGATTTCAAATGATTGCAATTGATTTTTTTTAATGATATGAAATCGATTTTAAGATATCAATGTCAAATATTTTTTCTGAATATACTTAACGAGGCATAAAACATGAGATAAAATATAAATCAATGGTGTACATAAGAAAATTTCTTTTATTTGACATTCATTTTTATATTATATAAGCTTTTTAATTTTAGTTAACAGTTCGGAACTTAAAATTAACTTATCATTTTCGATTAATGGCGGAGAAATTATATACGTGTGATTTTTTATGTCTATATACCCATGTACATCCATAGATACAGGAACCACAACATTAAAATCTTTATTTTTTAGATTGTAACACTGGGAAAGAACAACGATGTCTTTTTTATTATCAGTGACGTTAGCGTAGTCGCTTGAGTATCCTAAGCTTTTCAATGTGGATTCAGTGGAGGATGCGAAAGAAAGAATGAGCCCAACAAAACATTTGTCCCAATTATATATTTGATTGAACAAACAGTATTCTCCTATGAATATTTTAGTACACTTTTTGTAGTACGTTTTTATTTTTTTTCGATTTTTCTATTTGCATATCTTGAACTCTTTGCAGCCGATTGCTACTCAAACTGTGATGATTTTCATTTAATAACTAACATATAGACAATTTTCTTACGACGAATTATTTTACTCGACGAATCTATCAAACAGATAAAAAGTCTGTTTTCTTTCAAATTTTTTTCCCATTGTAATTTTTTAAATCTAGCGTACCCTAAATATTCGTTAATCTACTTAGATCATCTAATAAATTGTTATCCCGACTTTTAGTGTTTGAGTTATCTAACAACTATCTTATCAAACTCACTTTCATCTTTGCTCTCATCATCAAATTCAAAATTAGTTGTAGAAACATTATTGTTAATCACAGGTATATGAACATTATCACTGACATTCCTATTCACAATCATCCCAAGTGCTGTGACTTCTTTAAAAGTTTTTTCTTCAGCAATTCTTAAATTAAGTGTCATTAATTTGGTCTGTACCCGGAAATGCATGTTTCATGATTTGGCTGATTCATTTTCTTTTTAAAACGTGGGAATCTAAAATTCGTGTTTTTATTCTCATTTCATTTTATAGTTGAATTCTTATTATTTTATTTAGTACTTCAAATATACTAAAATTAACTTTTGTTGAGAAAGTAGAACCCATTTATCCAAGTGCATGAAGGAAAGATTAACGCGTTTGACTATTAAAAAGCCACGGCAAAAATAAGTCTGATGCAAAGAAATTTTCAGATTAAGATAAATTTTGTAATTTTAAAATTAATTGGATTAGAGAATATGCATTAATTTTTATACATGTATACGCATTCAGCGTTACAAAATTGTTTTCGAGCGAATAATGAAGAACTTCTTCACGAAGATCTTGATCAACGGTAAGCAACACTCGCGACACTGCAAAACAAAAAGAATACATGCACGTTACGTAGAGCAAGAGTCAAATAATCGTGGGGCCAAGTATAGTGTCTACGCTAAAAAAAAAACAAATGAGCGTATCTAAGCATATTATGCAGCACCGACAAACAACTTGAGACATAACTTTCAGCCTACACATACTTGCGCGCATGACATGCATATACATATGAGTAAGATTGTTTACATATATTTTTCTCGGACTCATCCTTTCTAGCGATTTTTTTGATTTCATCGATTTCACCGATTTTAGCATTTTCACTAATGTATCTACAAAGCTATAGGATCTAATAATTTCATGTGATTTCATATAGAGTCTGATTTCATCAGTGATTAACCCCTCGTGCAAACAATCGTGCCGCGTAAAATCTTTTGAGCGGTTGCTCTCTTTCTGCTTGTCTTTCAGCGAGGTGTCTCAAGACAAAAGTGTTCATTTCAAGTGATGAGAATCCGATGACGCTACGAAAAACTTCATTTTCATGAAGTCGTATTGCATCTATATCGTTTATACAGCTATGACCAAAATGCTCGGGAATGTCGGCTGTGAATCTTGATCATAGTTATATAAACGATATAGATACGATACAACTTCATGAAAATAAAATTTTTTGGACACCCTACCTAGCTCGCCGTACTACTAAAACATTACAATATGATTTTAGAAAACTATAATGTTTTTAAAACTCATATATTACATTTTAATCATGTCTTTCAAGCTTTTGAAAAATGATTTTATAACACATAACTTAGGACGATAGAAACTTCAAAATTCATTGATAACGTTTTTGAAATCATGAGTATAGACGTAATTGCATATTTATTTACCAATAAATAATTCATCAGCTATATCTCATATCAAATCAAAGGAATATTTAATGTATATTGAAGAATTTTCGGATTTTCAATTTTATCAATAAAAGTTTTGATCCGTAATTGAACATTATTAAAATGAATGCGAAAAAAAGACGAAAAAAATGAGCGCGCAAAACATCACTAGTTTAAATCAGATACCATAACAAAAATACATATAGTTATAATCTACTTCGGAATGATTCAAAATTCACTAGTCATTGTTGGAAATATCAAAAGATGTGATAAGTCTAACTTCTAAGCATATCGGCAAAGATAGTGCCGGAGATGATTCCAATAATTATTCAGTCGGCAGCTGTTGAGGCAGTTAGAAAGGTTCCGTTCAATCACTGCACCAGTGTTTCGGTAAGTGGCCGGCGAATTCCTATTTGTTTGTACGTTACTTATTATATTTTTACAACATGTGGTTAAATATAATAATTCTGATGTACTATTACAACCCAATATACTATTACAATCCAAGGTCGCGACAGCATTAGCAAGTTCACAAAGCACGTGTAAATTTATAACCTGATACGTGACCTGAACTTGCTAATACCGAGACTATAGGTCGTATACTATTTTTTTGCCTAATTTCTATTCTTTATTCCATTATTTTCTGGATGCTTTTAATTCCTGCTCCGATCAGAAAGATCTCGGCTTCATCTAGGCTCGATCTTACAGTCGGGCAGGCATCAATAACATGTAGTCAGCTGTTTGAATTTACATAAAAGCAACCGCAAAGGCTTACAATGAGTATAACACTATAGTTGAGGGTGAGCTGACGCAGGTCACAAAACTTCACCAGTGGACATTCACGCTATTCATAGAGTGGTGACCCTGGTAAATGATGAGAGTGAGAGTGGGTCTGGAACTGGATACATGACTAACGTGGCCGAACGCGAGCGAACAGCAACTGAGCATCATTTTCAGCAAAAACATTAATTATTCAACGAATGTTCCATTTGGGAGCAAGAAAAAATAGTATACGACATTCGACCAGATTGTAGGATGCCCTAGCCGGTAGGTTTGACGACCAAGGCTTTATCTCGGGCGTTAAACTCCGCTGGACAAAGATAGTTTGACTTTCTGCCTATGTGTTTGTAATCTACTAAATTATTAAATTTTCTTATCATTTCAGATATTCAAATAGATTGTTTCTTATCCTTTATTTATCAAAATGTCTGAATTCACTGTGGTATCCAATAACAAATGTTTTGGAGGATGGCAACAAATTTTAACTCATGAAAGGTTTATTTATCAAAAATAATTTACAGAAACTTTTTTGCATTATTATAAATTTATGTTGAAAAATTATCTTAAAGTTGATTTTTTGAAATTCTAAAGTCTAGTGGATTTTTAAGTAATATAAATATTTATGAAATATTTATATTACTTGAAAATTTATGTTAATATAAAGTGAGTGTTCCTATTACCAGTACCCATCTATTATCAGGCATTTTTTTGTTATTTAATTGAGTTAGTATGGATAATTAAATAAGAAAAATTAATAAGAAAAGTAAATTAAAAATAAATTCAATACTGATCTACTACGACTATTGAATGCATTAAAATTTGTTTTGTTGCATTAATAAATATCAAATCTATTTATATGGCAGTTTTGTAGAAGTAGTCTAATACTGATACATAAAATTTTTTCACAAGACCAATTAACAGTCATGAAGTAAATTGAAATATTTGAGTTTTTCATTCAGTGTGTCATCTTTCTAATTGGTATTACAGTGTATATATTGAACAATTTAATATCACTTTCATTTACTGTAGCTTTTTCAAACTATGCATAATTTAAATTGTTAATAATTAGGATATTGGTATCTTGGTTGCAGGTAATAGGGATGTTCACTCTAGTATAAATATTGCATTTTTTTCATCAATATAATATGTATTTAATATGTTCAAAGTTCTGTATTAAAATGTCGTATGAACTTGGGTGTTTTCTTACCACCTCAAACAGAAGAAGGCCCAGTACCTGTGATATATTGGTTGTCAGGCTTAGAATGTACAGAAGTTAATTTTATTCAAAAAGCTGGTGCTCAGAAGTATGCTGCTGAGCATGGAGTTATGTTAGTTGTACCAGATACAAGTCCCAGAGGAGTTAATATTCCTGGAGAAGATGACTCATGGGATTTTGGATCTGGAGCAGGATTTTATGTTGATGCAACTCAAGAGCCATGGAAAAGTCATTACCAAATGTTCAGTTATGTTACAAAGGAGTTACCTGCTTTGATCAATGAAAAGTTTTCTGTTCTCTCGGATAAACAGTCAATCATGGGACACAGGTATATCTATCATAATTAAAAAATTGTTTTTATCACATGCAATAAAAAACTGATAAGTATTTCTTCAAAATTTTCATTGGTTTTTTCAGTATGGGAGGACATGGGGCTTTAATTTGTGCTTTGAAATGTCTGAATCAATACAAGTCTGTGTCTGCTTTTGCACCAATTGCAAATCCTGTTAACTGTCGTTGGGGTCAAAAAGCTTTCTCTGGTTACTTGGGTGGCAATAAAGATGATAGTCACTGGAATGAATGGGATGCTACAGAGTTGGTAAAGAATTACAATGGACCTCCATTGGATATATTAATTGATCAGGTAAATATTTACAATGTCTAACTTTTAGTGATTTTAATTTTTGTTTTTTTAGAACTGTATTATAAAATTAATAAATAATTGAGTTATAAAAACAAATGCTGTTTTCATAAATTGTTTTGTTATATACTGAAATATATAATAAACTTTCAAAAATCTCAACAATTTAAAAAACACGTAGATTAACATTTTTTTTAGGGCAAAGAAGATAATTTTTTGAAGGAACAACTCCATCCTGAAAATCTTATTGCAGCAGCAAAAGATGCAGAGTCTGTACATGTCACTATGAGAATGCATGAAGGATATAACCATAGTTATTATTTCATTGCAACATTCATTGAAGATCACATTAAACATCACGTTAAATATCTCAAAAATTAAAATGCATTCTATACAAGAGTATACTTTTATGTATTAATTTTTTTATCAAATATATTGTGCATCACATTTTTGTATTTGTTATTGATTTCAATTATAATTTTTAATCCAAATAACTCAACGCTTTTTAAGTTATTCAAATGGAAACAAATGACAACTTCTATACTTATAAAAAATATATGAAATATATATTTAAAAAATCTCAAATTATTTCTTCAAACATGATTATGATTGAAGTCGGTTCACAGTGTCAATCACTAATCTATTTCATGAAGACAAATTTGAAAAGTAATTTACCTAAATTATTTCTATTAAGATTTTGGAGGATTCCTAAATTCGTGCCATTGTTTCAAGATTGGTGAACGTTGCCGCCAAATATTTTCAATGCCCCATGCTTGCCAAAACCTGATAAATAATTTAAAGTTTGTTGAAGAAATTTGATTACATTGCGTGAAAAATATTGGTTTTTAAAATCAACTTACATTCCAAATAGAACACCACCTAAATGCGCCGCGTGATCAAAAAATTGCCATCCCAATATACAACCAGCTGCATCAAATGCCATTATCGATTTTATTGCCTAAAAATTCAGAATTTAATTAATAATCTTTTGGAAGTTACATGAATTTGGCATAAAAAAATAATTACTGCTCCAGCACTGAATGTTATTTGAGGTAGCAAAATTATACTGAGTCTTGTTTCTGGAAACTGAGTACAAACAAATCCCAAGATTCCCATAATTGCTCCTGACTAAAATAGCATAATATTGATATTTAATAGTAAAATTTTTATATGACCATATTGAATAAAGATATAGTATTAAATAGTATTAAAATATACTTTGAGTCAAATAAATTTTCAACTTACAGCTCCTAAAGAAAATCCATGGCGGTTAAACATTATTTTATAAGCATTACTAAAAGCACTAGAAAAGACTCCACTAGACAAATAAACTGCAAGAAAATGCTCTCTTCCTAAGTATGCAACAGCAGCACTACTGAAACTGTGCAATACATACATATTTGCTGCTAAATGTAAGAAATTATAATGAGAAAACGTAGATAGCAGCATGGGTATACAAGTTGCACCTAATGAAAAGAAAAAGTTATGAATTACCCAAGTTGGATCAATGTACAAATTGAATTTAATAAGATTATATTCTACTTACTGGAAGCTGGATTAGTTGCAAAGTATTTGAGCATTATAGGATTCCATTGAGGTACTCGCCATGCTAGAAATACTAATACATTTGCAAAACAAATGAAATAAAAAGTTCGCTGACCATCTGATAAATTAGTCCACCATGTATTTGCTTGACTTCTCCATCCTGTCACCTTTTAAGATATGTAAAATATTTGATACATAGTCAAAATCATAGATGAAATTCATCAATTTTTCAATTTGTCATTTTAATGCATCTAAAATATTTACAGTTGATCTAATTGGCTGACTAAATGGAAATCGATTGAGTCCTCTGAATGTTTGTTCTCTTATTCGCTCGTATTCCAAGATCGTTGCTCCAACAAGTGTAGCACCACTAAACTGTAATTTTTTTATAAAGCAAATTATATATTTATAAAATAAAATACCTGTAAATAAATGAAATAATAAGCAAACTGAAATGTATACTTTTTAAATATTATTATTTCAAAAGCATTTATTTATAGAAAAAAAATACTAGAAAATTCAACATTATATTTATAATTGAAAAATTCTTAGCAGTGATTGTATACAAAATATTCATTATTGAGCTAACTTGATAAACAATTGCATCATATTATGTACAAAAATTCTGATTGTTAACTTTCATAGCAAGGCAGTATTGATTTCTTTATATTGATAAAACAAAATAAAATAATGGATTTACCGTCGATGCAAATAAAAATCCTTTTAATATTTTTCTGCTATTAGTAGGACCACTATACTGAATAACAACATTGTCAAAAGGAGATTTAGGTCTTTCTTCTACTTGTCTAACTCTTCGAAAATATCTGATTGGTTTCAATAGGTTTTGTATTTGTAATTTCGTTCGATAGCATTGTACATTTGAAAAGATGCTGCAAAATATGATAAAAATTCATCACATCATGATATAACCTCGAAGAAAAATATACTTGACAATTATTACAATTTGTTCGTTGCATCTCCTAAATGCAACAGTACCCGAGTTGCCATTGCCAATAATTTTGAAAATAATTACGTTATAGTTATATTTAAATATTATTTTATTGATCACATTTAAAATCAATGTATTTTTTGTTTTGACGGCGGGCAGTAATCTTTATGCCACTTGTCCACTTGTCAAGTTTCGTGCTGGTTTCGTGGTACTGTGGTGGTGGCTATATATATATATATATATAGCCATATTTATATATATATATATATATATATATATGTATATGTATGTATGTATATATATGTATATATATCCAATTTTACTGCAAACTATAAAACTGCTGTGATTGGTTTAAAAGTGATAGGTGAAAAATTGGCGGGAAATTTCGATTTTACGTGAAATGACGATTAATTGGGCAAGAGCAATATAAAATGCTGTATACTGCTATCATTACAAAAAAATGAAAATTTTTTTCAAAGAAATCCTCTTAAAATAATAATAATAATCTTTTGATCCCACGTAAATCTAGTAAATCGCTAAAGCACAATGAAACGTGTAGTTTCATTGATGTATTGAAAGTTCCCTAATTTGATCTTCATCTCATTCTTAAGACGTAAAAGACCATCCCAACATTATGGGAAACGAGAAGCCGAAGTTATTAAATGCTGTCCCTGGAGTATTAGCCGAACCGAGGAGACATACAAATTATCGAATAATGAAGTCAATTATGATACTGTAGATTAACTAGTCCCTATAGCGTAGCTTCATAAATGCAACATATTGTGCAATATCTGTAATAACTACGATTCATTCAATAGTTGGAATTTATTCATTTGTTGATCTGATATGAATTATTTATCTGATATAAATTATAAATACTGTAGCTAATAATCCTTTCGTTCCTTTATAATCACCCATTTTCGATAGTGCTGGTATGAAAAAATGAATATATATTTAAAAAAATGTTCAATAATAACGTTATTTACTTATATTGATTCGCTTAAATTGACTCGACGTCAATGAAAATTAATTGAAATGTTCAGACACGAAGTCATGTTAAAATTAAAAAATTTCAAGTGTTTGAGCTTGTTCGTCTAAAAATCGCACGCGAAATTTACTGCCGATAATCGTGTTGAACGAGCAGGGAGTATTGGTAATATAGCACGATTAGCTCGAGTGGAATAAAGAGGAACGAAGGAAGAAAAAGGCCAATAGAAATGCAAGTGTCCCCTGATCTGATGAACAGTAGAAATGAACGCGCGAGCCAGCTAAAATGAGGTGCACGCGCGGGAATCGAAAATGTCCAGTGCGAAACTGTCGAAGCGAGGCGGTGTGAGGGTGGGTGCAACAATGGCCAATGAAACGCGCATCACTAGCGGAAGAGCGAGATCCTCGTTTACCAACTTTTTGTACTGTTTATTTTGTCCCTGTTTGTTGTTTTACTTGGTCTTTTCTGCACGGCATTTGCTTCGATACAATTTCGTCGCTTCATCGATGGTCATTTCATACTTCAAAGTTCTGCGTGTATTGTGCTCCCAAATGTTAGATTATTTTCTAGTTGATTACAATATTTCGTAAGATTAATTTAAATTAATTTAATATTTATAATTATTATGTAATTAAACATTTGCAGAAGGGCAGTTATTGATTTATGCAGTACTAGGTTTGAAAATGTGCGCGATTGACGTATCTTGCATGTATAAATAACATTTTAATTTTCCGATACATTTTCTGGTTTATGCACTCGATAGATTACATGAAATTTCAATCAGATTGCTGTACGTTACTTTAGTTATTAGCTCGTGCATTGATTAATTGAGGGGGAAATACATGGATTAGTAGAGTCTCGGTGTGAACTGAAATAGAAAAGTTATTTTCATTGAAAAATGCACTTATTCAATTATTATTGACTGCCTGGCACAATATAGATTTCATAAATTCAAAAAATTAACCATTCTGGATTGAAGATTTAAGTGTAAACTTAAATCTTGATAGATTTATACAAAATCAACTACAAAATGAGGTTCATTGGGAGTTTAATAAAACTTTCAGTCAATCGTTCGTTCACAAGCCACTTTGGATCTTCAAAAGAAGCATCAGTCGGAAAAAGTAAGTGCGAACTATCTAAAATTGAAATAAGAATGATTTAAAAACAAAGTCTCCTTTCCATTAGCATACACACAAACGCGCAGTGAAAGAGAGCGAGAGAGGGAAAGCGAAACTTTTGGAAAAGTGTCGTGGAGAGTTCGAAAAGCGTGGCAAAAGAAAAACGTCGAGTTCGCCTCTCTCTCGCTTCTCGCTCTTTCATCCTGTTTTCATAAGCGGCCGGGATTCATAAAGCGACGTGGCGTGCGCACGCGAAAAAATTTCAATAAGAAAACAGAGCGAAATTCCGACGCGCCGGAAATTGCTTGCTCATTTTTATGTATGCGCGAAGCCGCATAAATCTGAAAGGAGGCCGTTATTTGTCTAAAAGATAAGAAGTTGCGCCGGGCGTCGGATACGACGACGAGTTGGTGCGCGCGCACGAGAGGTCCAGTTACCACGGCGAGCATTTCGAGGATGAGAACTGCTTAGCATACGCTGGCGCGCGTCAATCTAGATTTTCATCAGCCGACCGTCAAGCTGGAAACTTGGCTGCTCAAATGGAACCGCGCCCTCGTGTACCTGTACGACTTCAGCTTTCTCTTTCGTGGATTCTCCGTCATTCTCTTTAGCATTTGTTCATTCAAGTCAATTTACTTGACTAGCTTAACTGACAGCTCCCGTTGCAATGCTTGTTCAGTCTCTGTACAGATTTTCAGTGGATATGCTCAGCCTTTAGTCAGACGGCTCTCAAATAATACATGCTTCTGGTCGGCTTCCGTATGCCAATTAATTATCGTTTCCTTGTTTAACTTTCATTTTGTTGCTGTTTTCTTTTCATTTCGCCTATCGCATTGACTGCCAATTATGTTTATTTCTTTTGTTGACTTTTTCACGTGCATGGCAAACAGTTCTCTCTACATTTTTAATTACATTTGCCTTTCTCCTTTCTTCAAAAATAGGGATTTAAAATATCTCGTGTGCAAGCCTCTGAAAAAAGCTTCAATCGAAGTTGCGTGGCCGACCAAAAAGAACACAAACAAGGAACAAGAGGCTTATCTAAAATGTGAAGTTCATTGAAGTTCATTGAATTTTCAGTAAAAAAAGGAACTGTGCTTACGGGTCGACGATTTTGAAAAGCAAATATGAAATGAAAATATCACCTCTATATATTAATTTTATCACTTCGAAAATAAATCAATACAATTATTTGCATGTGATTGAAAATATAAAAAAAGTAAAAACAAAAGAAAAGAAACAAATGTCGATTAAATATTCGTTGGCTTCATTTTATAATAATCAAATTAAGCGCGGATAGAGAAAAATGAAATAGTCATTGACATCAGGTTCTCCATTTTGATGTTTTCCGCATGACTACTACAAAGCACAACTACAATACTAATCACATTGGCTCACCGTCGAACATCCAAGTAAAGTGCCGCCGAGTGCATTTCAGCTACTCCTGTAAGTAAAAGAATGACTTTTTCTTCTCGCTCGTCACTCTTCGTGGGCTTTAACGCGTCTAAGAGAGAGAGAGGGTGAGAGCGTGGGAGGGGGCGGGAGGGTGTGTAAAAAAGTCGAGAAGAGAGATCCGAAAGAAGAAAGCGTTCTCGTCTTTATCGCGTTTTAGCTCTGGCGCACGCGCTCGTTTCAAGTCAAATAACTATCTCTAGGACTCTTTCCCGCCTTCCACTCTTACTTTTTTTTTTTACCGCGTTTCTATTGCGCACTTTACTGCTCCAGCTCAGCCAGCATGGAGAGACTCGGGGCCCACGCCGTGTTTTAATGTAGAACTTAACCAAGTTCTATCAGTAGCTGCTTGGCGTGGCTTCTCGATGTTGTTGCAAATTATAGAATATTAACAAATCATTCGAGATACATAGTTGTGTTATGTTTATATTCGGTTCATTTTTCTTTCGTGTAATTTTAATCAATTTCAATAATAATTAAGCAATTGGTTTCTTTAAAATTAGGCTCCCCAGACAAATAACTATATAACACGCTTCGGGCAGTTCAGTTCAAATCAAAAACTATACTGTAAATATTCCGAATACTGTTAACAAAATTGAAGGCATCGGTGAAAATATGAATGATATTTTGTTGATTACTTTTATTGTATTATACATTGTGTTAATATATCTGAATATAGGGTGATGATTTCCTAAACTATACCTTTTAATGACTTACTGCGTTATTCGGTATATTAACTGTTTATGAGCCGCGGCTTGCTATAGTTCAATTAATTTACATTTTTCCTAATAAGCAATTCGTACTTGTAAGGAAAATTCTTTGGCAGGCACACGAACGTGAAGGTTTTACATGTCTGATTCATTTTTTGCTTTTCAAGTATAAAAATATACTGATTTTCAAATTACGAAGTATAATTACGATAAAATGCGGAAAAAACGAAATGATCATAATTGAAATGCTACCCGTTCATTGATCGAAGATAGTTGACGAATCACTTTATTACATCACGCACGTGCTTTGCAAAATTTCATGAAGTGATACAATACACATCGCGCAAACACATTTGCGCTTCACACTGACAGATAATTTTGCACTCATTCTTTTGCTTTTTCGACTCTTGACCCTTTTTACCTCTCTCGTCACTTTTCTTTCGTCACATATGCGCGTTATTATTAGCCGGGCAAACTTAATGGACTGTGTTGAGTTTGCATATATTTTGCTGGGTGACTAAAAAGAAGCGTCTCCGTCAAGTGGAACTACTGCTACTGTGCGGAAAAAGAGGCCACTTTTGTTTATGACACTCGACGAATTTTCTCTTGAAAAAAAGCGGCTAAATTATTTTTACTTGAAAATGGCTACTTCTATTTTGTGAACTTGTAATTTTGAGCATCCTATCTTTGAACAATGCCGGGGCGCAAAGTTATAGGCGCTAATTACTTGAAAAATATTGCAATAATATACTTGGTAGGACGTTATATTCTTTTTATCTTCTCAATACTACAACTCTCAGCTGAAAAAAAGGAAATTTTATAAAACTGTAATAATGGTTGGTCGACCGTCGATTTTCCATGCCACTTGAGAGACAAACTCTCAGACTTCCGATTCCAAGGAGCACAAAAGCCCGAGTTGCTCGGCC